ATTGTCATGCTGGAGGGTCATGTCAGGATGAGCCTGCAGGAAGGGTACCAAATGAGGGAGGAGGATGTCTTCCCTGTAACACACAGCGTTTTGATTGCCTGCAATGACAACAAGCTCAGTCCGATGATGCTGTGACACACCGCCCCAGACCATGACGGACCATCCACCTCCAAGTCGATCCCGCTCCAGAGTACAGGCCTCAGTGTAACGCGCATTCCTTCGACGATAAACGCGAATCCGACCATCACCCCTGGTGAGACAAAACCGCGACGCGTCAGTGAAGAGCGCTTTTTGCCAGTCCTGTCTGGTCCAGCGACTGTGGGTTTGTGCCCATAGGCGACGTTGTTGCCGGTGATGTCTGGTGAGGACCTGCCTTACAACAGGCCTACAAGCCCTCAGTCCAGCCTCTCTTAGCCTATTGCGGACAGTCTGAACACTGATGGAGGGATTGTGCGTTCCTGGTGTAACTCGGGCAGTTGTTGTTGCCAACCTGTACCTGTCCCGCAGGTGTGATGTTCGGATGTACCGATCCTGTGCAGGTGTTGTTACGCGGGGTCTGCCACTGCGAGGATGATCAGCTGTCCGTCCTGTCTCTCTGTAGCGCTGTCTTAGGCGTCTCACAGTACGGACATTGCAATTTATTGCCCTGGCCACATCTGCAGTCCTCATGCCTCCTTGCAGCATGGCAAAGGCACTTTCACGTAGATGAGCAGGGACCCTGGGCATCTTTCTTTTGATATTTTTCAGAGTCAGTAGAAAGGCCTCTTTAGTGTCCTAAGTTTTCATAACTGTGACCTTAATTGCCTACCTTCTGTAAGCTGTTAGTGTCTTAACGACCGTTCCACAGGTGCATGTTCATTAATTGTTTATGGTTCATTGAACAAGCATGTGAAGTTATTTGTAATTTTACAAATTATCTTTTGAAAGACAGGGTCCTGAAAAAGGGATGTTTCTTTTTTTTGCTGAGTTTATATGTATGTATATGTATTTATATCTATCTACACACAATACCACATAATGACAAAGCAAAAACAGGTTTTTAGAAATGTTTGCAAATGTATATATTAAAACCCCCCATAAATATCACATTTACATAAGTATTCAGACCCTTTACTCAGTACTTTGTTGAAGCACCTTTGGCAGCGATTACAGCCTCGAGTCTTCTTGTGTATGACGCTACAAGCAAGCTTGGCACACCTGTATTTGGAGAGTTTCTCCCATTCTTCTCTGAAGATCCTCTTAAGCTCTATCAGGTTGGATAGGGAGCGTCGCTGCACATCTATTTTCAGGTGTCTCCAGAGATGTTCGATTGGGTTCAAGTCCGGGCTCTGTCTGGGTCACTCAAGGACATTCAGAGACTTGTCCTGAAGCCACTCCTGCGTTGTCTTGGCTGTATGCTTAGTCTGAGGTCCTGAGAGCTCTGGAGCAGGTTTTCATCAAGGATCTCTCTGTGCTTTGCTCTGTTCATCTTTCCCTCGATCCTGACTAGTCTCCCAGTCCCTGCCGCTGAAAAACATCCCCCCAGTATGATGCTGCCACCACCATGCTTCACCGTAGGGATGTGCCAGCTTTCCTCCAGACGTGGCGCTTGGCATTCATGCCAAATAGTTCAATCTTGTTTCTCATGGTCTGAAAGTCTTTTGGTTCCTTTTGGCAAACTCCAAGCAGGCTGTCATGTGCCTTTTACTGAGTAGTGACTTCCTTCTGGTCACTCTACCATAAAGGCCTTCTTAGTGAAGTGCTGCAGAGTTGGTTTTCCTTCTGGAAGGTTCTCCCATCCCCACAGATGAACTCTGGAGCTCTGTCAGAGTGACCATCGAGATCTTGGTCAGCTCCATGACCAAGACCCTCCTCCCCCGATTGCGCAGTTTGGCCGGGCGGACAGATCTAGGAAGAGTCTTGATGGTTCCAAACTTCTTCCATTTAAGAATGGCCATGGTGTTCTTGGGGACCTTGAATGCTGCAGAAATGTTTTGGAACCCTTTCCCAGATATGTGCCTCGACACAATCCTGTCTCGGAGCACTACGGACAATTCATTCGACCTCATGTCTTGGTTTTTGCTCTGACATGCACTGTCAACTGTGGGACCTTGTATAGACAGGTGTGTGCCTTTCCAAATCATGTCCAATCAATTGAATTTGGTGGACTCCAATCAAGTTGTAGAAACATCTCAAGGATGAGCAATGGAAACAGGATGCACCTGAGCTCAATTTTGAGTCTCATAGCAAAGGGTCTGAATACTTATGTAAATAAGGTATTTCTATTTTTTATTTGTAATACATTTGCAAAAATGTCTTAATCTTCCTTGATGTTTCTACAACTTGATTTGAGTGCACCTGTGGTAAATTCAGTTGATTAAACATGATTTGGAAAGGCACACACCTGTCTATGTGTGGTCCCACAGTTGACAGTGCATGTTAAAGCAAAAACCAAGCCATGAGGTCGAAGGAATTGTCCGTAGACAATTCATTAGAAGGTATTGTGTGTAGATTGTTAATTTTAAAAAAAAATCAATTTTAGAATAAGGCCGTAACGTAACAAAGTGTGGAAAAATCAAGGGGTCTGAATACTTTCCGAATGCACTGTACTTGCACATATTTTGTGCAGAAGTAGAGAGATGTTGTTTTGTTTTTACACCTTGCTCTGTCTATCAGATTATGCGTCTGTCTCTGCCCCAGTGCCTGTGTTTTATAGCAAGTGAGTCACTGTAGAATTAGGCACACTTACAGTGCCTTTTCCTATTTTGTTGCGTTACAACCTGTAATTTAAATAGATTTTTATACAATACAAAATAGTCAAAATTGGTGAAGTGAAATGAAAAAAATAACTTATTTCAAAGAATTCTAAAAAATTTATAACGGAAAAGTGGTGCGTGCATATGTATTCACCCCCTTTGCTATGAAGCCCCTAAATAGATCTGGTGCAACTATTTACCTTCAGAAGTCACATAATTAGTTTAATAAAGTCCACCTGTGTGCAATCTAAGTGTCACATGATCTCAGTATATATAGACCTGTTCTGAAAGGCCCCAGAGTCTGCAACACCACTAGCAAGGGGGCACAACCAAGCAAGCGGCACCATGAAGACCAAGCAGCTCTCCAAACAGGTCAGGGTTGGGTTATAAAAAATTATCCAACATTTTGAACATCCCACGGAGCACCATTAAATCCATTATTAAAAAATGGAAAGAATATGGCACCACAACAAACCTGCCAAGAGAGGTCCGCCCACCAAAACTCACGGACCAGGCAAGGAGGGCATTAATCAAAGAGGCAACAAAGAGACCAAAGATAACCCTGAAGGAGCTGCAAAGCTCCACAGCGGAGATTGGAGTATCTGTCCATAGGACCACTTTAAGCCGTACACTCCACAGAGCTGGGCTTTACGGAAGAGTGGCCAGATAAAAGCCATTGCTTGAAGAAAAAAATAAGCAAACATGTTTGGTGTTCGCAAAAAGGCATGTAAGAGACTCCCCAAACATATGGATGAAGGTACTCTGGTCACATGAGACTAAAACTGAGATTCTTGGCCATCAAGGAAAACGCTATGGTCTGGTGCAAACCCAACACCTCTCATCACCCCGAGAACACCATCCCCACAGTGAAGCATGGTGATGGCAGCATCATGCTGTGGGGATGTTTTTCATCGGCATGGACTGGGAAACTGGTCAGAATTGAAGGAATGATGGATGGCGCTAGTACAGGGAAATTATTGAGGGAAACCTGTTTCAGTCTTCCAGAGATTTGAGACTGGGACGGAGGTTCACCTTCCAGCAGGACAATAACTGTAAGCATACCGCTAAAGCAACACTCAAGTGGTTTAAGGGGAAACATTTAAGTGTCTTGGAATGGCCTAGTCAAAGCCCAGACCTAAATCCAATTGCGAATAGTGGTATGACTTAAAGATTGCTGTACACCAGCGGAACCCATCCAACTTGAAGGTGCTGGAGCAGTTTTGCCTTGAAGAATGGGCAAAAATCCCAGTGGCTAGATGTGCCATGCTTATAGAGACATACCCCAAGAGACTTGCAGCTGTAATTGCTGCAGAAGGTGGCTCTACAAAGTATTGACTTTGGGGGGGGTGAATAGTTATGCACTCTCAAGTTTTCTGTTTGTTTGTCTTATTTGTTGTTTGTTTCACAATAAAAAATATTTTGCATCTTCAAAGTGGTAGGCATGTTGTGTAAATCAAATGATACAATCCCCCTAGAACCCATTTAAATTCCAGGTTGTAAGGCAACAAAATAGGAAAATGCCAAAGGGGGTGAATACTTTCGTAAGCCACTGTATTGGGGAGATGGGACTTAGTCCCACACATAGGCTATTGAAAGAAGTGGCCACGCTTCTTCTTTTGGAAGACATTGTTCTATTTTGTTAACATCATGTTTTATTTAATCCTGTAATTGTAATACTACACTAAATGTCTTAACCAACAACAAGAGCAACATTTTAGTCTGAATTGTCTATAATCTAAATTGTCTATATTCTTGTATATTAAAGGTATATCAAAGATGTTACTTTTCCCTTGTCATTTTACCACCACAGTGTAATGATAAACACGGTTTATTTCAGAGCAAGCTCAAAATAGGCGCATCTTCTCAATTTGACCTGCATATTTGAGAAACGGCTACTTAAAGTAATTTTTTGGTTATACTATTGTCTCTCAAACCTAGGTAATGTAGGCTAAATGGTGCAATAGGCTTAATATTATTTCTGTTACAAAACCAGCACAGTAGGAGATAGTGGATAGAATTAGAACATGTAAGTTAACTGCCTTCATTATTTTGAGCCTTCTACTTGGAGTCTCTGAATATATTTGAGATTGCTCTGAAATTGCAAGGGGTTGGGGGTGGTTAGACATAGTTAGGTCTATGTATTGGAAAGCTTGTTTGTACATGTTAATTCAACCATCTTGGTCTTGTCTTTTTTGAGTCACTGGCAGGGATTTGTAGTGGGTGTTTCCTCCCTCTCACCATAACCATACACTTGTGTGCCTGCAGGGAGGCGAGGCTCTGATGATGGAGAATGGACAGAGCTCCGCCTCAAAGCTCGGCCTGCCGCCTCTCACCCCTGAGCAGCAGGAGGCACTGCAGAAGGTAAGGCCCCCTAGAACGGTGACATTCCTCAGATTTTCACAAAAGTGATAGGCTATCAGTGTAGAAATGTGTAGTCACAGGCTTCAGTATTCTTTTTAATTGGATTGGACAGAAATGGAAAAGAAAGATAGCGAGAGTGTGCTGAAATGACAGTGTGCCCTAGAAAAATGCAGGAAATTAGCTTTAAAATAGGTACAAGTCTGTAGTTTAACATGACAACATCTTTTGGATGGTAGACTATTTCATGATAACAATTATGGAAAAATTAAGTCTAACCTTGACTTTACATTATTTCCCTTACAAATATGTTAAATTACCCATCAATTATACATCTTATTTAGGACACCTCGGGCTATCACTACAAAAAGTCATGCTTAATGCATTTGTGCAGTTTTCAAGTGAATAGGTTAAGTGAATAGTTCAATTGATGGCGATCAGTGTCACACATTGTATGACATTACTTATCACTTCTGTTCAGAGCAAAGTAAAACAAAAAAAATATTTTACTCACTGACTTCTTAACGTCTTAGCCCAGCCTATCAATGTCATAGAGACAAACCAAAGATATCCACATCAGGGTTTCCGTTAGCAAAATCTGGTGCCGGACAACGTGACCTGCAATATTTTAATTTACCGGTCATCCAAATGCATTATGGCGTCCACCCACGATGCTCAAAATCACATTTAGATTATTGTAATTAATCTTATCAGAATAGAAATTAGCCTGTAAAGTTCTAATAAAATATAGTAGAACGATGTTCTTATACCAACATGACAGGTTTTATTGAAAAGCAAAACATTGCCCGTTACGTCTTCATCCCTGCTATGAATCATGAATGAATATCATCTAAAAAAAGAAATCAACTTTTAGCCTAGAAGAGCAAGTCGCCTACACAGTAATAAAACAACTTCAAAATATAATATTTGTATAATATAATTTGCGAACAACCTGTCCTATAGACTATTTGTATGAAATGTGTTATTAATAAATAACAAAACACTGCTGGTTTTCAAATACAACCTAGGCCCCTATAATGTAATTTAGCCTAGGCATGAACATTTTAATTAGGTCAATAAACAACAAAACATGGCTGTCTGAACACCAGCTTTTGTCAAATTGGGCTTTTCATAGTAGGTTAGGAGAATTAGGTTAAGGTTAGGAAAAGAGTTATGGTTAGCAAAAATGCAAAAAATGCAACTTTTGTTGTTAGTTTGACAAAAGCTGGATCAAAGATTATGGACATACTGACAATATACATGTCTCTACGCCCTAACAATGGGAGTCATTGTCCACAAAGCGGCACAGCGGGCTGTCTAGCTCCCGCCTTTCCTTTCTTTGGATTGGTGGATACATCTCATTATTGAAATCCTTTTTTGAATATTCGGTGAGGGTTGTTGACTTCAACCGCCTTTATTCAATGGAGAGAGAGGCTATGCTATGCAATGAATATGCATAGCCATCACGAGACAACTCCGATATGAAGTGTTTTTTCTCTAAGTTGCCGGGATGTCATGTGTCCTACTTATATCAGTACACTCATAACAACTTAAGCATTACGAAACTTATATTAGATCAAATAAACCTCACATAGCAAATAAGCCATTCATTTTTTGTTGTTGACCTCCATGCAAAAACTCCATGTTTGGTGGGCCTCTCGCTTCCTCTCTGGCTGGATCCCTTCTAGCCATGACCGGGCCAGCCGGCCCCACTCCCCATTTCCGTTGTGATTCAGCACCACAGTAGTGGAAAGAGGACACTCAAGGTGGCCACAAAATGAAGAAATTATAGAACTGATGTTGGACAATCAAATTCGATATGTAAATAAACAAAATTTGTTACGGCTGGTTCATTGAGAGAAAGCTTATTTTACAATGCTCCTGTGAAATGAGGCCCGCTTCATTAATTTATGAAAGCACTTGTTTCCAAAGCTCAAGTGATATCTAACTCTTTTTACAGTTCTACTGAATGATGTTAATAAATGTTATGTTTATTGTAATTTGAACTATCGTTGGGTCGTGACTCGTGTCATGTGTGATATAGGTGGCTTATTGAGAACTGTTTCCTACTATAGGCAGTTGGCTGCCTAGTGATTGCAACATTGTAACTCACCGATGTGAATAGTTGGCAACAATGTTTTGTTTCTAAGTGCACCTGAATAACAACTGATATGCACCAATTGCTCATGATACACATAATTACTCTAGTCTATCAATCCATTCCAAATCTTTATACTATACACTACCGGTCAAAAGTTTTAGAACACCTACTCATTCAAGGGTTTTTCTTTATTAGTACTATTTTGTACATTGTAGAATAATAGTGAAGGCATCAAAACTATGAAATAACACATATGGAATCATGTAGTAAACAAAAGTGTTAAACAAATCAAAGTATATTTTATATTTGAGACTCTTGAAATAGCCACTCTTTGCCTTGATGACAGCTTTGCACACTCGTGGCATTCTCTCAACCAGCTTCATGAGGTAGTCACCTGGAATGCATTTCAATTAACAGGTGTGCCTTCTTAAAAGTTAATTTGTGGAATTTCTTTCCTTAATGTGTTTGAGCCAATCAGTTGTGTTGTGACAAGGTGGGGGGGGTATAGAGAAGATGGCCCTATTTGGTAAAAGACCAGTCCATATTATGTTAAGAACAGCTCAAATAAGCAAAGAGAAACGACAGTCCGTCATTACTTTAAGACATGAAGGTCAATATGGAAAATATCAAGAAGTTTGAACGTTTCTTCAAGTGCAGTCGCAAAAACCATCAAGCGCTATGATGAAACTGGCTCTCATGAGGACCACCACAGGAATGGAAGACCCAGAGTTACCTCTGCTGCAGAGGATATGTTCATTAGAGTTACCAGCCTCAGAAATTGCTGCCCAAATAAATGCGTTACAGAGTTCAAGTGACAGACACATCTCAACATCAACTGTAAAGAGGAGACTGTGCGAATCAGGCCTTCATGGTCGAATTGCTGCAAAGAAACCACTACTAAAGGACACCAATAAGAAGAAGAGACTTGTTTGGGCCAAGAAACACGAGCAATGGACATTAGACCGGTGGAAATTCGTCCTTTGGTCTGGAGTCCAAATTTGAGATTTTTGGTTCCAACCGCAGCGTCTTTCTGAGACGCGGTGTGGGTGAACGGATGACATCCACGTGTATTTCCCACCCTAAAGCATGGAGGAGGTGTTATGGTGTGGGGGTGCTTTGCTGGTGACACTGTCTGTGATTTAGTTAGAATTCAAGGCACACTTAACCAGCATGGCTACCACAGCATTCTGCAGCGATACGCCATCCCATCTGGTTTGGGCTTAGTGGGACTATCATTTCTTTTTAAACAGGACTATGACCTAACATACCTCCAGGCTGTGTAAGGGCTACTTTACCAAGAAGGAGAGTGATGGAGTGCTGCATCAGATGACCTGGCCTCCACAATCCCCTGACCTCAACCCAATTGAGATTGTTTGGGATGAGTCGGACAGCAGAGTGAAGGAAAAGCAGCCAACAAGTGCTCAGCATATGTGGGAACTCCTTCAAGACTGTTGGAAATGCATTCCAGGTGACTACCTCATGAAGCTGGTTGAGAGAATGCCAAGAGTGTGCAAAGCTGTCAAGGCAAAGGGTGGCTATTTGAAGAATCTCAAATATAAAATCTATTTTGATTTGTTAAATACTTTTTTGGTTACTAAATGATTTCATATGTTATTTCATTATTCTACAATGTAGAAAATAGTAAAAATAAAGAAACCCTTGAATGACTTTTGACAAGTAGTGTACATGGCGCATATGTTGATCTTGCCTGAGGCAGCAGCAGAACTTCTAGGACGGGGCCTCACAAACACAATTTATTTGCTTTAGTTTGTGGCAGACCTTGGCCTGCTCAAGGTGAGCCACTGCTGTTGGGAAGTCAAAACTGTCCAACTCCTTGGAGCAGCTTGCGATGCGCATCAGAGGATTTTATTATAGAAACACACCCAACGCTAATATCCCAGCAGCTTGAGGATTTATTATAGAAACACACTGACAATAATGTCCAAGCAGCTTGAGGATTTATAAGGCTATGAAGTATATTTGCCTTTGAAGTCGGAGCCCATCTACTGGTATTTCCATCAATGAATAAAAAGCATTATTTTGCAATGGATGATTTTTTTCTCCCGGACGATTTGACCGGCAACAATTATATTTATTGTGTTCATTTTTTTTGATTGGCCAAAAACCGGCATTTACTGGGTAACAGAACCCCTTATCCCCATGTGCATCAGAGTAGCGTCTTGTGTATTTTACGGTTCATTTTTAGCCTAAAGCGTCGCGGAGATATGCATCGTTATACATCGGTTTATAATAGGATTTGGTTACAATTTAGCTGACCAATGGCAACCTGTGGACCACCCTTGAGCCGGCCCTGCTTTGGTACCACAGGGAATGAAGAGACTGTCAAGAATTACATCCCAAATAGAATGGTTCTGCTACTTACCTTACCCTTTACACTCGTGGGAATTGGCCTGTATGCATAGGGCTAAATTCAGCTGTTTCTTACAGAATAAATATGAAAAGCTTATGAATAACCATGGTAGCAATTGAATGGGAACAGTTTGGAGATTATGGGAAAATTATTAGACCAAGGACACAACAGTTCACCTGACACAAGACTGAATCCAAACATTACACTGTTGATTTTATGTGCATTTTAAGTTTACTGTACTTTTTGCTGCATTTGTTGATAATGAAATCTGAAAATACTCAGTAACATGATACGAATATTCCTGGAAAATGTGGGGTCGGTGCAACATAAGACAAGAAAAATACAAGGGTTTGAGTGAGCGGACTGATGTCTCCAAGTGGGCCACACAAGGGGTCTCCGACCTTTTCTAGCATGAGAGCTACTTTTAAAACATGTACCATGTCACGAGTTATTCATTATTTTCTAGCTTTCAAATAGGCACATTCTTCTCTTCTCCTCTCCCCTGCAATTCTTCCCCGGGTCATTAGTGTACAAGAGAAATAAGTGTACTATGTTTTCTGTCAATATACAGTATCTTGCAAAAGTATTCAGCCCCCTTGGCGTTTTTCCTATTTTGTTGCATTACAACCTGTAATTTAAATTGATGTTTATTTGGATTTCATCTAATGGACATACAAAAAAAAATAGTCCAAATTGGTGAAGTGAAATAAATAAAATAACTTGTTTCAAAAAATTCTAAAAAATAAATAACGGAGAAGTGGTGCGTGCATATGTATTCACCCCCTTTGCTATGAAGCCCCTAAATAAGATCTGGTGCAACCAATTACCTTCAGAAATAACATAATTAGTTAAATAAAGTCCACCTGTGTGCAATCTAAGTGTCACATGATCTGTCACATGATCTCAGTATATATACACCTGTTCTGAAAGGCCCCAGAGTCTGCAACACCACTAAGCAAGGGACACAACCAAGCAAGCGGCACCATGAAGACCAAGCAGCTCTCCAAACAGGTCAGGGACAAAGTGGTGGAGAAGTACAGATCCGGGTTGGGTTATAAGAAAATATCAGAAACTTTGAACATCCCACAGAGCACCATTAAATCCATTATTTTAAAAAATGGAAAGAATATTGCACCACAACAAACCTGCCAAGAGAGGTCCGCCCACCAAAACTTACGGACCAGGCAAGGAGGGCATTAATGAGAGAGGCACAAAGAGACAAAAGATAACCCTGAAGGAGCTGCAAAGCTCCACAGCGGAGATTGGAGTATCTGTCCATAGGACCACTTTAAGCCGTACACTCCACAGAGCTGGGCTTTACGGAAGAGTGGCCAGAAAAAAGCCATTGCTTAAAGAAAAAAATAAGCAAACACATTTGGTGTTCGCCAAAAGGCATGTGGGAGACTCCCCAAACATATGGAAGAAGGTACTCTGGTCAGATGAGACTAAAATTGAGCTTTTTGGCCATCAAGGAAAACGCTATGTCTGGCGTAAACCCAACACCTCTCATCACACCGAGAACACCATCCCCATAGTGAAGCATGGTGGTGGCAGCGTCATGCTGTGGGGATGTTTTTCATCGGCAGGGACTGGGAAACTGGTCAGAATTGAAGGAATGATGGATGGCGTTAAATACAGGGAAATTCTTGAGGGAAACCTGTTTCAATCTTCCAGATATTTGAGACTGGGACAGCGGTTCATCTTCCAGCAGGACAATGACCCTAAGTATACTGCTAAAGCAACACTCGAGTGGTTTAAGGGGAAACATTTAAATGTCTTGGAATGGCCTAGTCAAAGCCCAGACCTCAATCCAATTGAGAATCTGTGGTATGACTTAAAGATTGTTGTACACCAGCGGAACCCATACAATTTGAAGGAGCTGGAGAAGTTTTGCCTTGAAGAATGGGCAAAAATCCCAGTGGCTAGATGTGCCAAGCTTATAGAGACATACCCCAAGAGACTTGCAGCTGTAATTGCTGCAGAAGGTGGCTCTACAAAGTATTGACTTTGGGTGGGGTGAATAGTAATGCACGCTCAAGTTTTCTGTTTTTTTTGTCTTATTTCTTGTTTGTTTCAAAGTAAAAAAAACATTTTGCATCTTCAATCAAATGGTACAACCCCCCCAAAAATCAATTTTAATTCCAGGTTGTAAGGCAATGAAATAGGAAAACTGACAAGGGGGGTGAATACTTTCGCAAGCCACTACACCTGTTAAAATAATGGTTAGTAAAAAACTAAGGGGCCCTATAAAATCTGTGATTTCTTCCCCCAAATTTTATATTTTCCAAAATGTGTTTTCTCAGTTTTATTTTTCCTTGTTTTAGATGTAGTTTTGAGAGAGATTAAAAATAAATACAATTGTTCATAGAGAAACAACGAAATTGGATGTTCTGAATTAATGCCAATGGTTCAATCACATCAGAAGACAATTTTTTGGGGGGGGTCTGAAAAAAAACTAACAAATGATTTTTGAGCCAGGTAAGCCTATTTTGCAGTTAACAATTAATTGAGAAGGTTTTGTGGAAAGTATTTCTGTCAATCCACAAGACAGTTATCACATCAACTTGCTACACACAGAGTGATAGACAAACGCGCTCACCACACAGACAGACAGAGCCAATATTGCTGGAAATGAATTGCCAGATATTGTGTTAGGATTGGCTTTTTAAGCCAATAGTAGCTTACAAGGGGTGGGATAATGTCAATGTTGCGTTGATTAGATAGTAGCTGGGAGCTTGCAGTATCTGATATTCATGAGATTTGTTTGACAGTTTAGGATGTAACTCATGGAAAATTGTATACTTTCAGAATTGTTTGGCGAACTACTCATAGGTGGGCTGCTTGCTACTGGTAGCTCGTGATCGAGCTGTTGGAGAAACCCTGGGCCACACACTTCTCCAAAGTGTGGACAATTCCTAATCAATTCCAGTGCACTTTTATGACTCAAAGAAGAGTCTTCAACAAAAGGTGCTTTTTTGAGCTCTCCTAGCTGTGCTGTTGAGGAACTAGAGCAAGCACACTTGTAGTTGTTTGGTTTGGAACGCAACTCTGCTTGTCGCGCTGATGTTCAGAACGGCTGCCAGTCAAAACCCATACAGTGCTGTGAAGCGCAGAGCCAGAGCTCTGACATCATTTATAGCATGTTACTGTACAGCCACTACGTTCCTATTTAGCCGTTTATCAGTGCCTAAATCTGCCAATTTCGACCTGTATACGGGTATGAGTGTAAAGGGTTAACACAGGCACAATAATTAGTGTAGCCTATTATTATAAGACTCTAAAGTTGGATGTTTTGGTGCTGCTAGTGCAGTTCAGACTGCTGGTTGAGAAATTAGGTGGTATTTTTTGTCTTAAAGTAACATTATACTGTGCTATTATATTTGGTTCTGTTATGTAGAATAGTATCATTATGTGATCTTGCATACATTGATTCAGCTTTGATATAACTTGATTAAACGAGTGCCATTCTCTATTCATCACTGAAATTCGCCAGAGTAGCCTGTTCTCTGGGAACAAGTAGAGCAGAGACTGCGTAGTAGAGAATCCCGCACATGCGCTAAGTTGAGGGTTTTTAGATATCGGGAAGAGTGTTCCGAAGCAGTTTCTCCATAACACCCAATGAGAGACAAACCTGGAGAGTTATATTTGTTACACCAATGTGGCAAACAAATTGATATTTGAATGTGATTCGATTGCTAAATGTAATTTTGACAGTATTTACCCTGCACTAACACCATATTCTACTGATCAGATTCTCAACAGGACCCTGATAAGCTGAGTGTGTTGAGCATGGCTGGGAAGATAGTATTGCACCCCAGCAGCTCTCCAGATGGCGAGTTGGCTGCATTTAATGTATACAGTAACAGTACAGTTTCTCTGAGGCATTTTCTCGTTGCGGTATAGACTATAAAGTATTCTGAAACTAAGTGTGCAGGCTTGTATCGGAGGTAACCTCTTCTCTTTCCCTTCATTTGCCTGTAGGCGAAGAAGTATGCCATGGAGCAGAGCATTAAGAGTGTGCTGGTCAAACAGACCCTGGCCCATCAACAACAGCAGCTCACCAACTTACAGGTAAGGAGAACCTCATTTGTGAGGTGACAGCCCTGTCCACCAAGCCTCCTTCCTCATACAGTGCTGAGAAAAGCACAGTCTGCAGACAATTTGTTGACACATTTCACATATTTAAATGTTCTACACAACATACTACACACATCATGGGAAAAAATATATAGATTTGAAAAAGAAATACAGCCATACAGAGTTCATTTACTGTTTAAAAACCCCTAGAGTCGATGTCCCCACCCCTGCGGAAATCAAGTTAGCGTTACAAAAAAAGTCCCCATCAAAATCTGTCTGTTTAAGCTAGAGATGACATATTTTTGCATGGGCTGGGTTTCAATCCACTGCATCTGCCAATGACGACCTTCTGCATCTGCGCTGGAAGGTGGCCGAGCTACAGCGGTGTTTATCAGACTTTATTTATGTAACCCTTATTTTACCAGGTAAGTTGACTGAGAAATTTTAGCCAGGACACCGAGGTAAACAGCCCTACGATAAGTGCCATGGGATCTTTAGTTACAACAGAGTCAGGACACCCGTTTAACGTCCCATCCAAAAGACGGCAATGTCCCCAATCACTGCCCTGGGGCATTGGGATATATTTTTTTAGACCAGAGGAAAGAGTGCCTCCTACTGGCCCTCCAACATCACTTTCAGCAGCATCTGGTCTCCCATCCAGGGACCAACCCTGCTTAGCTTCAGAGGCAATCCAGCAGTGTGATGCAGGGTGGTATGCTGCTGGACCATGAGACGAAAACGTCTGTAGCGCCCGAACGGCTTGGCCTAAAAACTAAATATGACCAGTCTATGGAAAGGTGAGACTCTCAAGAACACGTACATGTTGGAAGCCCACAAGCCTCACATGACTCGTCTGAAGGTAGCATGGTACCAGTGTAAAAAATGAATGGACGTAGTTTAGTACCCCCAAACATTTTTTAAATATGGGTAAACATTTAAAAAAATTATTTCCTGATCTTTCTTAGCTTGGCACACCTGTATTTGGGGAGTTTCTCCCATTCTTCTCTGCAGATCCTCTCAAGCTCTTTCAGGTTGGATGGGGAGCGTCGCTGCACAGCTATTTTCAGGGTTCTCCAGAAATGTTTGATCGGGTTCAAGTCCGGGCTCTGGCTGGTCCACTCAAGCACATTCAGAGACTTGTCCTGAAGCCACTCTACTCCTGTTTTGGCTGTGTGCTTAGGGTTGTTGTCCTGTTGGAAGCTGAACCTTTGCCCCCGTCTGAGGTCCTGAGAACTCTGGACCAGGTTTTCATCAAGGATCTCTCTGTACTTTGCTCCATTCACCTTTCCCTTGATCCTGATTAGTCTCCCAGTCCCTGCCGCTGAAAAATATCCCCACAGCATGCTTCTGCCACCACCATGCTTCACCGTAGGGATTGTGCCAGGTTTCCTCCAGACGTGACGCTTGGCATTCAGGCCAAAGAGTTCAATCTTTGTTTCATCAGACCAGAGATTCTTGTTTCTCATGGTCAGAGTCCTTTAGGCAAACTCCAAGCGGGCTGTCATGTGCCTTTTACTGAGGATTGGCTTTCATCTGGCCACTCTACCATAAAGGCCTGGTTGGTGGTGCAGAGATGGTTGTCCTTCTGGAAAGTTCTCCCATCTCCACAGAAGAACTCTGGAGCTCTGTCAGGGTGACCATCGGGTTCTTGGTCATCTGCCTGACCAAGGCCCTTCTCCCCCGATTGCTCAGTTTTTCGGGCGGCCAGCTCTAGGAAGATTCTTGGTGGTTCCAAACTTCTTCCATTTAAGAATGATGGAGGCCACTGTGTCCTTGGGGACCTTGAATGCTGCAGACATTTTTTGGTACCCTTCCCTCGACACAATCCTGTCTCAGAGCTCTACGGACAATTCCTTAGACCTCATGGCTTGGTTTTTGCTCTGACATGCACTGTCAACTGTGGGACCTGTATATAAACAGGTGTGTGCCAATCAATTGAATTTACCACAGGTGGACTCCAATCAAGTTGTAGAAACATCTCAAGGATGATTATTTTAAACAGGATGTGTTCAATTTCGAGTCTCATAGCAAAGGGTCTGAATCCTTTGTGTGTAATATTGTGTAATGTATTTTATGTGAAGGAAAACTAGAGTTGCACATCCCTGATCACTCTATTGAAGTAAAAGAACACTGTTGACTTTCAATATAAAACGCGACCCCTGTCAATACACAGCTGGATTCACCTGCTCCCACTTTCTCCAGTTGTGCTATGTACAAACAAGCACTTGACTGGCTCATAATGTGACAGGTGAACTGAGGAACGCAATCTGCTTTATCTCCCAACACATTGCACAAGTTGACTGCAGGTATTTACTGAAAGAATAGCTACAAATTATTAAAATGTATTGAACAACTTCAAATAAATAATTTCAACGATATTGAAGGTATTGAAAAACCATCCCGTGGCTTTTTCCAAATACCTCGGTATACGGTATATACGGTATACCGCCCCAAGCCTATTAGATACTGGGGGACTGTACCATACACAATTTTCTGGGCCAATACCAGCTTCAGCTAATTGACCTGTTTATCAACTGATAGCCACTGTAGTTGGCTGAGCTGAGAAGGGCCAACATGAGCCTGAGGGCCTTGCCGTTTTATTCCGAGCTGTCTGTAGCTTGTTCTTGATACATTTAGGGGAGCTACTGTACCAGGTAGTGCACACACAGTCAAACTGAGGCTGCACTGACTCTGCTGCAAGTGTTTTCAAGGTCCCTTTATCTAGAAATGTGGCTTTTTTGGCCAGAAATGTCACTCTCTGGTTGACCCATGCTGTCCCCTGTCAGGAACCTGTCTAGTTCACAGCCAAAGTATTTAACACAGTTCTTGGCTGTAACTGCTGTGTCACCAACCGTGACTCTTAACGCCTGGTGTTCTACCTAGCCTAAGCATAGAGCCAAATAATATTGACTGTTTTCCCCAAATGAAGAGACCGCTTGTTGTCTGACGGCCAGTTACTGACCCGTTAGTTCTGCACTAAGCTGGCTCTCAACCATACTCTTGTCTTTCTGAGAGACCACTTTTGTGATTTTTGACACCTTCTTTTCTCTGGCCTTGATTTAGTCCGTCTAATTTTGGACATCCTACAAGGGTAAAAACTCAAATAACGTTTGAAAGGATTATGATAGAGACGTGAGGTTAAGACCATTGGTTTTGCTAGAGTATCTGCACAATAAACATATTATTTTTGATTGGACACCCTACTGTAACATTGATTCAATTACTTTTGGTAGTGGCAATTCAGGTCGGATTTTAGGATATTTTTACATCTTTACCCAAACTCTCCACCATGGCCAAGACCAAAGAGCTCTCCAAGGATGTCAGGGACAAGATTGTAGACCTACACAAGGCTGGAATGGGCTACAAGACCATCGCCAAGCAGCTTGGTGAGAAGGTGACAACAGTTGGTGCGATTATTCGCAAATGGAAGAAACACAAAATAACTGTCAATCTCCCTCGGCCTGGGGCTCCATGCAAGATCTCACCTCGTGGAGTTGCAATGATCATGAGAACGGTGAGGAATCAGCCCAGAACTACACGGGAGGATCTTGTCAATGATCTCAAGGCAGCTGGGACCATAGTCACCAAGAAAACAATTGGTAACACACTACGCCGTGAAGGACTGAAATCCTGCAGCGCCCGCAAGGTCTCCCTGCTCAAGAAAGCACATATACAGGGCCATCTGAAGTTTGCCAATGAACATCTGAATGATTCAGAGGAGAACTGGGTGAAAGTGTTGTGGTCAGATGAGACCAAAATGGAGCTCTTTGGCATCAACTCAACTCGCCGTGTTTGGAGGAGGAGGAATGCTGCCTATGACCCCAAGAACACCATCCCCACCGTCAAACATGGAGGTGGAAACATTATGCTTTGGGGGTGTTTTTCTGCTAAGGGGACAGGACAACTTCACCGCATCAAAGGGAGGATGGACGGGGCCGAAGGTGAAGGTTTGAGTTGCCAAACGTCAGTCTCGAAACCTTAATGACTTGGAGAAGATCTGCAAAGAGGAGTGGGACAAAATCCCTCCTGAGATGTGTGCAAACCTGGTGGCCAACTACAAGAAACGTCTGACCTCTGTGATTGCCAACAAGGGTTTTGCCACCAAGTACTAAGTCATGTTTTGCAGAGGGGTCAAATACTTATTTCCCTCATTGAAATGTAAATCAATTCATAACATTTTTTACATGCGTTTTTCTGGATTTTTGTTGTTGTTATTCTGTCTCTCACTGTTCAAATAAACCTACCATTAAAATTATAGACTGATCATGTCTTTGTCAGTGGGCAAACGTACAAAATCAGCAGGCGATCAAATACTTTTTTCCTCACTGTAGCTACTTTCAAAGCCGCGCTGATTGGTCAGAGTTCGGTTGTTCTCTGTAAGAAGTAAAGGCACGCAAGAGAAGGAAGAAAAAAACATTGTCATCCATAACTTGCATTTTCCCGAATTTGCATATGAAGTTCTATTAAAGTATGTAGCTTTTTGTGAGTGATTGCAGCCAGCCTGACTGACCAGATGGTTAGCATTGACATCATGGATAGTTCCATTGTTTTAGGAGGTAAGCAAGCTTACAAAATAGAGAAAGGGTCATTAGTTCTACTCCCTTAAATTATTAAAACAAACAAAAGCCGGTTCTAACTAGTTCTCAGCCTACAGTACCAGTCAAAAGTTTGGACACTCATTCAAGTTTTTTTTTTTTTTTTTTTTACTATTTTCTACATTAATTAATATAATAATAGTGAAGACATCAAAGCTATGAAATAACACATATGGAATCATGTAGTAACCAAAAAAGTGTTAAAGATTCTTCAAAGTAGCCACCCTTTGCCTTGATGATAGCTTTGCACACTCTTGGCATATATTTTACGTGTGACAGAGGGCCAGAGATAATTGCAGATCCCTGTGATAATCTGAAGTACCCAAAAGGCCACTAGATATAATTTTATAAAATAAAATAAGAACTTAAACGTTACCAAAATTCTGGTATTAAACTTAGAAAGTTTCCAGTAATATACCCTCCCCATGCAACCCTAGGTACGACAGTTGAACTAAACTCATGAGGCATTTATAAGTTATACTCTTCTAGAATCAATAAATTTAAATCAGGGGTGTCAAACGTCCGGCCCGCAAACGGGTTTAATCCGGCCCGCGAGATGATTTTTTTTAATTTATTTTTTTTAAGTATAAAAATGCGCTGCAATTTTTCAATAAAATAAACTGCTGTTCCAATTGCGTCCACTGGATGGCGCAATAGCAATTGTGTTAAGCAAGCTAACTGTTTATACCGGGGCAGAGCAAGTAGGTCAAGCACGTGCAGCCAATGAGCTACTTTGTTTTGCCCGCGATATTTATTACGGCTTCTACTTTTAACATTATGTGCTTTGGCACCCTCATTGCCCCAATATGTCTCTGTCAAAAAAGAGAAAAGTGGACGCAGAGTGCAGTGTTCCAAGAAAAATGGTCATCCTATTTATTCACGGAATTGAATGGGAAAGCTGTATGTTTGGTGTGTTCATAGCATGTTGCAGTGCTGAAAGAATATAACCTTTGTCGCCACTATGTGAGTCTTCATGCCGACAAATATGACAACTTTCAAGGACAGCGGAGATGAGAGAAGGTGAATGAACTGTTGGCGGGTCTGAAGAAACAGCAGTCTGTGTTTACTCACAGCCGAGACATCAGTGACGCTGCAGTGAAAGCTAGCTACCTCATTGTTAATGAAATCGCAGTGGCTTCAAAACCATTTAGTGAGGGTGAATTTGTAAAAACATGCATGATGAAGGCAGCGGAGATTGTGTGCCCTGAAAAGCGGCAGGCTTTTGCAAATATCAGCCTGACAAGAAACACAGTTGCAGACAGGATTTCCGATCTTTCAGTGGATTTGGACAGCCAGTTGAAGCAAAAAGTAAAGTCATTTATTGCGTTTTTGGTTGCATTTGATGAAAGCACGGACATTACAGATGTTGCACAACTGGCCATTTTCATCCGCGGAGTTGATGACACATTGACCGTCACCGAGGAGTTCGTGGAGTTGGTGCCGATGACAGATACAACGACAGCAGCTGATATTTTTACCGCACTCGTCGGCGCGCTGGACAGGGTCGAAGTGGACTGGTCCCGCGCTGTCAGCCTGGCTACAGATGGTGCGCCCTCAATGATCGGGGAAAAAAGCAGGCGTTGTGACAAAGTTTAGAGAGAAAGTGCAATCTGCAAATGGAGGATGTGATTTTTTGACTTTTCACTGTATTTTGCACCAGGAGGCTTTGTGTTGCAAGTCATTAAAGATGGATAACGTCATGAAGGTGGTCATCCAAACTGTTAATTTCATCCGATCCAGAAGCCTGAATCACCGTCAGTTTGACAGCCTTCTCAGAGAGAAAGACCACATCTATGGCCTGCCATACCACACTGAGGTAAGATGGTTAAGCCGAGGTGCTGTGCTGAGGCGTTTCTTTGATTTACGAGAAGAAATTGAACAGTTCATGGAAGAAAAGGGCAAACCAGTGTTAGAATTTCATTCCGCAGAATGGATGCAGGACCTTGCATTTATGGTGGATGTTACAGAGCACCTGAATAACTTGAACAAACAGCTGCAAGGGCGCAACAAAGTTGTCACGCAGTATTATGACAGCATACGTTCTTTCAAGTTGAAGCTGTCATTGTGGGAGACGCAACTTGCCGGTGGTGATGCAGCTCACTTCCCCTGTCTGAAAAATGTGTGCGCGACCCAACATGTGGCAGACATGAAGCGGTTCAAAGATAAAATAACGGGACTGTTACGGGAGTTTGAGCAACGCTTTCAGATTTATGTTTATATGTTTTTATGTTGATGTGCTATTGTTTTTAATTGATTTTATTTGTATATTTAACCTATTCTTGACTCTGTGTTTCTTGCACTTGTTTGGGGAACAGGATTTCATTATTTGTATCTACATTTCTGCCTGAGAAATGACACCCTGATATAGTTCTGTGATCTGTGATATACTTCTGTGAATCACTGAGGCATTGTGTGTTTGTGTGTTCTTTGTCCTCAGAACTTTCAAATAACTTGAGGTGTTTTATGATTAATAGTGATGTTGTGCTTTTGGACACTGTCCTCAGGCTCCAGCTTTATGTTTATATGTTTTTATGTTGATGTGCTATTGTTTTTAATTTATTTTATTTTATTTGTATATTTAACCTATTCTTGACTCTGTCGTTCTTGCACTTGTTTGGGGAACAGGATTTCATTATTTGTATCTACATTTCTGCCTGAGAAATGACACCCTGATATAGTTCTGTGATCTGTGAAACAGTTCTGTTAATCACTGAGGCATTGTGTGTTTGTGTGTTCTTTTTCTTTAGAATTTTCAAATAAACTTGACGTGTTTTATGATTAATAGTGATGTTGTGCTTGTACTATTTTGGACACACTGTCCTCAGGCTCCAGCTTTATGTTGTATGTTGATCGTATTAAAACAAAGAAAACAATCTGAAGTTGTTGTTTTTAAGTTATATATACCATGATTTTTCCGGTCCGGCCCACTTGGGAATACATTTACATTTTAGTCATTTAGCAGACGCTCTTAGCCAGAGCGACTCACAAATTGGTGCGTTCACCCTATAGCCAGTGGGATAACCACTTTACAATTGGGGGGGGGTAGAAGGATTCCTTTATCCTATCCCAGGTATTCCTTAAAGAGGTGGGGTTTCAAATGTCTCCGGAAGGTGGTGAGTGACTCCGCTGTCCTGGCGTCGTGAGGGAGCTTGTTCCACCATTGGGGTGCCAGAGCAGCGAACAGTTTTGACTGGGCTGAGCGGGAACTATGCTTCCGCAGAGGAAGGGGAGCCAGCAGGCCAGAGGTGGATGAGCGCAATGCCCTCGTTTGGGTGTAGGGACTGATCAGAGCCTGAAGGTACAGAGGTGCCGTTCCCCTCACTGCTCCATAGGCAAGCACCATGGTCTTGTAGCGGATGCGAGCTTCAACTGGAAGCCAGTGGAGTGTGCGGAGGAGGGGGGTGACGTGAGAGAACTTGGGAAGGTTGAACACCAGACGGGCTGCGGCATTCTGGATGAGTTGTAGGGGTTTAATGGCACAGGCAGGGAGGCCAGCCAACAGCGAGTTGCAGTAGTCCAGACGGGAGATGACAAGTGCCTGGATTAGGACCTGTGCCGCTTCCTGTGTAAGGCAGGGTCGTACTCTCCGAATGTTGTAGAGCATGAACCTGCAGGAGCGGGTCACCGCCTTGATGTTGGCGGAGAACGACAGGGTGTTGTCCAGGGTCACGCCTAGGCTCTTCGCACTCTGGGAGGAGGACACAGCGGAGTTGTCAACCGTGATGGCGAGATCATGGAACGGGCAGTCCTTCCCCGGGAGGAAGAGCAGCTCCGTCTTGCCAGGGTTCAGCTTGAGGTGGTGATCCGTCATCCATACTGATATGTCTGCCAGACATGCAGAGATGCGATTCGCCACCTGGTTATCAGAAGGGGGAAAGGAGAAGATTAGTTGTGTATCGTCAGCGTAGCAATGATAGGAGAGACCATGTGAGGATATGACAGAGCCAAGTGACTTGGTGTATAGGGAGAAAAGGAGAGGCCTAGAACTGAGCCTTGGGGGACACCAGTGGTGAGAGCACGTGGTGCGGAGACAGCTTCTCGCCACGCCACTTGGTAGGAGCGACCGGTCAGGTAGGACGCAATCCAGGAGTGAGCCGCGCCGGAGATGCCCAGCTCGGAGAGGGTGGAGAGGAGGATCTGATGGTTCACAGTATCAAAGGCAGCAGACAGGTCTAGAAGGACAAGAGCAGAGGAGAGAGAGTTAGCTTTAGCAGTGCGGAGAGTCTCCGTGACACAGAGAAGAGCAGTCTCAGTTGAATGACCAGTCCTGAAACCTGATTGGTTTGGATCAAGAAGGTCATTCTGAGAGAGATAGCAAGAGAGTTGGCTAAAGACGGCACGCTCAATAGTTTTGGAAAGAAAAGAAAGAAGGGATACTGGTCTGTAGTTGTTGACATCAGTGGGGTCGAGTGTTGGTTTTTTGAGAAGGGGAGCAACTCTCGCTCTCTTGAAGACGGAAGGGACATGGCCAGCGGTCAAGGATGAGTTGATCAGCGAGGTGAGGTAGGGGAGAAGGTCACCGGAGATGGTCTGGAGAAGGGAGGAGGGGATGGGGTCAAGCGGGCAGGTTGTTGGGCGGCCTGCAGTCACAAGTCGCAGGATTTTATCTGGAGAGAGAGGGGAGAAAGAAGTCAAAGCATAGGGTAGGGCAGTGTGAGCAGGACCAGCAGTGTCATTAGACTTAACAAACGAGGATCGGATGTCGTCAACCTTCTTTTCAAAGTGGTTGACGAAGTCATCCACAGAGAGAGAGGAGGGGGGGGGGGGGGGGGGGATTCAGGAGGGAGGAAAATGTGGCAAAGAGCTTCCTAGGGTTAGAGGCAGATGCTTGGAATTTAGAGGGGTAGAAGGTGGCCTTAGCAGCAGAAACAGATGAAGAAAATGTAGAGAGGAGGGAGTGAAAAGATGCCAGGTCGGCAGGGAGTTTAGTTTTCTTCCATTTCCGCTCCGCTGCCCGGAGCTCTGTTCTGTGAGCTCGCAGTGAGTCATCAAGCCACGGAGCTGGAGGGGAGGACCGAGCCGGCCGGGAGGATAGGGGACACAGAGAGTCAAAGGATGCAGAAAGGGAGGAGAGGAGGGTTGAGGAGGCAGAATCAGGAGATTGGAGGGAGAAGGATTGAGCAGAGGGAAGAGATGATAGGATGGAAGAGGAGAGAGTAGTGGGAGAGAGAGAGCGAAGGTTGCGGCGGCGCATTACCATCTGTGTAGGGGCAGAGTGAGTAGTGTGGGAGGAGAGCGAGAGAGAAAAGGAAACAAAGTAGTGGTCGGAGACATGGAGGGGAGTTGCAGTGAGATTAGTAGAGGAGCAGCATCTAGTGAAGATGAGGTCAAGCGTATTGCCTGCCTTGTGAGTAGGGGGGGACGGTGAGAGGGTGAGGTCAAAAGAGGAGAGGAGTGGAAAGAAGGAGGCAGAGAGAAATGAGTCAAATGTGGACATAGGGAGGTTGAAATCCCCCAAAACTGTGAGGGGTGAGCCATCCTCAGGAAAGGAACTTATCAAGGCGTCAAGCTCATTGATGAACTCTCCAAGGGAACCTGGAGGGCGATAGATGACAAGGATATTAAGCTTAAATGGGCTAGTGACTGTGACAGCATGGAATTCAAATGAGGAGATAGACAGATGGGTTAGGGGAAAAATTGAGAATGTCCACTTGGGAGAGATGAGGATTCCTGTACCACCACCCCTCTGACCAGATGCTCTCGGGGTATGCGAGAACACATGGTCAGACGAGGAGAGAGCAGTAGGAGTAGCAGTGTTTTCAGTGGTGATCCATGTTTCCGTCAGCGCCAGGAAGTCGAGGGACTGGAGGTTGGCATAGGCTGGGATGAAGTCAGCTTTGTTGGCAGCAGAACGGCAGTTCCAGAGGCTGCCTGCGACCTGGAACTCCAGGTGAGGGGTGCGTGCAGGGACCACCAGGTTAGAGAGGCAGCAGCCGCGCGGTGTGGTGCGTTTGTGTAGCCTGTGCAGAGAGGAGAGAACAGGGATAGGCAGAGGCATAGTTGACAGGCTGTAGCAAATGGCTACAAAAATGCAGAGGAGATCGGAATGAAATGAGCTAAGCATCTGGGAGAGGAGAGAGCAGGGCCTCCCTCACCAAAAACTTCTACCTCAGAAACTAAAATTGTTTCACTGAACCACCCGAACAAAAACTCTCCCAACTTCCACCTTTAGAAATCAGAATTGTTGTGAACCACAGCGGTTCAATGTTTAAAGGAATAGACTCAACCCACTTTATTCAGCTAGCTAACTATGACACCATAGCTAACTAGCATGCTAGCATCCAATAACACACAGTTTAACACACAGTTTAGCACCAACACTTGGTCACAACAAACCACCAATAGTGTGTTAACTAGCTAACTAGCATGCTAGCATCCAGTAACACACAGTTTAGCACAAACACTTGGTCACAACAAACCACCAATAGTGTGATAACACACTAAACAGATCATTCGTGTCTGTGTCAAGTTCCTTTCATGACGCAGCAATGATTAAACGTTGGCTAGCTAGGACAAGTATATTGTATTTAGCTACTACTTTACAGTTAGCTGGACGTGTTGGGTAGCTAGCAATGGCCACTGTGTTGACTTTGTTTGAAGAACGGCTAGCTAGCTAGCTTCGTGCTACACCCGGCACACAATGGCTACTGTGTTGACTCTGACTGTTCGAAAAAACGGCTAGTTAGCTCGCTTCGTGCTACAGCCGGCACGGCCGAAGACACTGCCAACCTGCAGTAACTACCCACAACAACCCACGATACCTAGCTATGACGCCGTAGCTAACTAGCAAGCTAGCATCCATTAACACACAATTTAGCACCAATACTTGGTTACAACAAACTGCCAAGAGTGTGTTAGCACACTAAACAGATAATTCATGTCCGTGTCTAGTTCCTTTCATAACGCAGCAAAAATTAAACGTTGGGTAGCAGCACATTAACATTGGAAACAGCTCTCCACCGTTGCTAATTGTTACCAGTAGCTACCCGCTAGCTAGCTCCATGTGGCCCCTGAGCTAAAATGAGTTTGACACCCCTGATTTAAATCATTAATTTGAATGTCAAAAAATGTATGCAGCAATCGCAGATTGCCCCTTTAAAAAAAAAAGACACACAGTATCTCCGCCAATGAGGGGTGTGAACAGTTTCGGGTAGCGTGGTTTGCGAATTGGGTGTTTGTTAAAGGGGCAGTGCATTTAAATCAAATCAAATCAAATTTTATTGGCCACATGCGCCGAATACAACAGGTGCAGACATTACAGTGAAACGCTTACTTACAGCCCTTAACCAACAGTGCATTTATTTAAAAAAAATAAAACGACAACAAAAAAAGTGTTGAGAAAAAAAAAAGAGCAAAATAACAGTAGGGAGGCTATATAAACAGGGGGGTACCGGTGCAGAGTCAATGTGCGGGGGCACCGGCTAGTTGAGGTAGTTTAAGTAATATGTACATGTGCGTAGAGTTAAAGTGACTGCATAAATAATTAACAGAGGAGCAGCAGCGTAAAAGGATGGGGTGGTGGGGCAGTGCAAATAGTCCGGGTAGCCATGATTAGCTGTTCAGGAGTCTTATGGCTTGGGGGTAGAAGCTGTTGAGAAGTCTTTTGGACCTAGACTTGGCACTCCGGTACTGCTTGCCGTGCGGTAGCAGAGAGAACAGTCTATGACTAGGGTGGCTGGAGTCTTTGACAATTTTGAGGGCCTTCCTCTGACACCGCCTGGTATAGAGGTCCTGGATGGCAGGAAGCTTGGCCCCAGTGATGTACTGGGCCGTACGCACTACCCTCTGTAGTGCTTTGCGGTCGGAGGCCAAGCAGTTGCCATACCAGGCGGTGATGCAACCAGTCAGGATGCTCTCGATGGTGCAGCTGTAGAATTTTTTGAGGATCTGAGGACCCATGCCAATTATTTTCAGTCTCCTGAGGGGGAATAGGCTTTGTCGTGCCCTCTTCACGACTGTCTTGGTGTGTTTGGACCATGATAGTTCGTTGGTGATGTGGACACCAAGGAACTTGAAGCTCTCAACCTGTTCCACTACAGCCCCGTCGATGAGAATGGGGGCGTGCTCAGTCCTCTTTTTTTTCCTGTAGTCCACAATCATCTCCTTTGTCTTGGTCACATTGAGGGAGAGGTTGTTATCCTGGCACCACACTGCCAGGTCTCTGACCACCTCCCTATAGGCTGTCTCATCGTTGTCGGTGATCAGGCCTACCACTGTTGTGTCGTCAGCAAACTTAATGATGGTGTTGGAGTCGTGCCTGGCCATGCAGTCATGGGTGAACAGGGAGTACAGGAGGGGACTGAGCACGCACCCCTGAGGGGCCCCCGTGTTGAGGATCAGTGTGGCAGATGTGTTGTTACCTACCCTTACCACCTGGTGGCGACCCGTCAGGAAGTCCAGGATCCAGTTGCAGAGGGAGGTGTTTAGTCCCAGGATCCTTAGCTTAGTGATGAGCTTTGAGGGCACTATGGTGTTGAATGCTGAGCTGTAGTCGATGAATAGCATTCTCACGTAGGTGTTCCTCTTGTCCATTTGGGAAAGGGCAGTGTGGAGTGCAATAGAGATTGCATCATCTGTGGATCTGTTGGGGCGGTATGCAAATTGGAGTGGGTCTAGGGTTTCTGGGATAATGCTGTTGTGAGCCATGACCAGCCTTTCAAAGCACTTCATGACTACAGACGTCAGTGCTACGGGTCGGTAGTCATTTAGGCAGGTTATCTTAGAGTCCTTGGGCACAGGGACTATGGTGGTCTGCTTGAAACATGTTGGTATTACAGACTCAGTCAGGGACATGTTGAAAATGTCAGTGAAGACACTTGCCAGTTGGTCAGCACATGCTCAGAGTACACGACCTGGTAATCCGTCTGGCCCTGCGGCCTTGTGAATGCTTAAAAGTCTTACTCACATCGGCTACGGAGAGCGTGATCACATAGTAATCCGGAACAGCTGGTGCTCTCATGCATGCTTCAGTGTTGCTTGCCTCGAAGCGAGCATAGAAGTGGTTTAGCTCGTCTGGAAGTCTTGTGTCACTGGGCAGCTCGCGGCTGTGCTTCCCTTTGTAGTCTGTAATAGTTTTCAAGCCCTGCCACATTATTGATGAAGCCAGTGACTGATGTGGTGTACTCCTCAATGCTATCTGAAGAATCCTGGAACATGTTCCAGTCTGTGCTAGCAAAACAGTCCTGTAGCTTAGCATCTGCGTCATCTGACCACTTTTTTATTAACCGAGTCACTGGTGCTTCCTGCTTTAGTTTTTGCTTATAAGCAGGAATCAGGAGGATAGAGTTATGGTCAGATTTGCCAAATGGAGGGCGAGGGAGAGCTTTGTATGCGTCTCTGTGTGTGGAGTAAAGGTGGTCTAGAGTTTTTTTTTCCTCTGGTTGCACATTTAACATGCTGGTAGAAATTAGGTAGAACGGATTTAAGTTTCCCTGCATTAAAGTCCCTGGCCACTAGGAGCGCTGCATCTGGATGAGCGTTTTCCTGTTGATTTATGGCCTTATACAGCTCATTCAGTGCAATCTTAATGCCAGCATTGGTTTGTGGTGGTAAATAGACAGCTATGAAAAATATAGATGAAAACTCTCTTGGTAAATAGTGTGGTCTACAGCTTATCATAAGATACTCTACCTCAGGCGAGCAAAACCTAGAGACTTCCTTAGTATTTGATTTTGTGCACCAGCTGTTGTTTACAAATATACACAGACCGCCACCCCTTGTCTTACCAGAGTAAGACGTGATTTCGTTGTTTTTTTTCATGCTATTTCCACACTGTGAGGTCGAAATAACACTCTGAAATTGTGAAAATGATGGTAATGCCCTTTTTGAGTTGTTTGAAAAAAATGCCTGGAATTTCAGCATCTTCAGGTGGGATGGAACTTTTTGCCCACATCATGACGTCACAATATGATCTGATTATAATAGACCAATGACTGTTCATCTGGGTAAGATGGTGGGCTAAAGGTGGCTCAGGAAAAAAAATCATTTGTATTATTCTTTTTGAGGTATTTTCATTAAATAAGCACACACAGTGATTTATTATACATACAGTGATGATTTAAAAATACATTTACAAAGACTGCATGGGGGGCTTTAATACACCAATAATTTACTATATCCACCTGGACCTTTGCTACCCAGGAAATTTGCGTGACCGGACCTTCTCAAATAATACTTAAGTGCCCAAGGCCTATATAGTGGATTTTTTTGCTCTTGACTTGCGCATAGACAACTCCAAAATCCACGGAGGTTGTGAAATATAAACACAAGATGAGATGCACATGCCAATTGCACGCTCCCTCAAAACTTGACACATCTGTGGTATTGTGTTGTGTGACAAAACTGCACATTTTAGGGTGGCCTTTTATTGTCCCCACCACAAGGTATACCTGTGTAATGATCATGCTGTTTAATCAGCTTGTTGATATGCCACACCTGTCAGGTGGATGGATTTTTTGGCAAAGGAGAAATGCTCAATAACAGGGATGTAAACAAATTTGTGCCAAAAATTTGAGAGAAATAAGCTTTTTGTGCGTATTGAACGTTTCTGGGATCTTTTATTTCAGCTCATGATACATTGGACCAACACTTTACATGTTGCGTTTATATTTTTGTTCAGTATAGTATAAAACATGATTCAATTACTTTAAATGCTGCTTTTTGGAATGCTGTTTGATTGATGGGCCTTTGTCCTAAGGAGCGTGGCCTTTTTTGACAAGCCTCTTTTCTGAGTTAAATGTATACTTTTTCTCTTAGATGGCATCGTTGACAATGGGCTTTGGAGATCCCCTCTCACCTTTACAATCGGTAAGCTGTTATATTAGTAATTATTATTCAAACCCAATGTTATTTTTATCATAACATGTATATCTTTTTGTTAAACCCAAGTGTCAAAATAGAAAATCTTTGCATGATTGACATAGTGAACCATTTTCTCTCTGTATTTTCTTATTTTTGTATTCAATTACACAATCAATGGAATGTCAATAACTTAAGGAAGCAATTCCACCCATCTCCATTTATTGTGTGTGTTAAGTCAGTATTTGTGTTTGTAATGTACAGTGGAACAGCAAGTCAGTGCTATGTTCAAGCACAGTTTCCTCCTATTGTAGGTAGCGGCTCAGAGACAGCGAGCATTAGCCATCATGTGCCGAGTGTACGTGGGCTCCATTTACTACGAGCTGGGAGAGGACACTGTCCGGCAGGCCTTTGCCCCGTTCGGCCCCATCAAGAGCATCGACATGTCCTGGGACTCTGTTACTATGAAACACAAGGTGAGATTTCACAACTGAACATTAGAACATCCCAGACTTGTTTTCCTCAGCTGAACTCAGCTGTTGAATGAGTGATTCCTTTACTGTATGTTCTTTGTATCTACCCACAATGTTGTAAGGATTTTTATTATTATTGCATTTGTGTATCATTTCAACTATAGCCCGACCAATATCATTGTCTTCCGTCAGGTGGCGCCACTCCTGTGCAACGCTCGTCCCTCAACCGACCTGTCTTGTAGGTTGTGGAATAATAAATGTTATATTTTAAGCATCCGCCACAGAAAATAAAAACATAGTTCCTAATTTCTGGAATTACTGTGCTCTCGCTTGGATCTCTGACACAGGCAGAATTAGCTTAATTATTATACACACATTTTGACAGTGATTTAAAGATGTGCAATTGTGAGAAAACGTAAACAAAGCGGCTCTACCTCCTGCAGAAATGATCTGAAAGCATATCGTTCGCCACTGACTTGATCAGCAGATTGAACTTGTTGCTAGCTAGCTTACTGAAGTACTAGCTAAGCAAGCTTGTCTCTAAATGTACAGTGCTGTGAAAAAGTATTTGCCCCTTTCAAATTTTCTCTACTTTTACATATTTTTTAAAAACTGAATTATCAGAACTTCAACCAAAACTTAATATTAGATAAAGGGAACCTGTGTGAACAAATAAAACAACAATTACATACTTATTTAATTTATTTCATAAACAAAGGTATGCAACACCCAATGCCCCTGTGTGAAAAAGTAATTGCTCCATTACACTTAATAACTGGTTGTGCCATCTTTAGCTGCAATGACTCCAACCAAACGCTTCATGTAGTTGTTGATCAGTCTGTTATGTCTCTGTGGAGGAATTTTGTCCCATTCTTCCATGCTGAACTGCTTCAACTCAGCGACATTTGTGGGTTTTCAAGCATAAACTGCTCGTTTCAAGTCCTACCACAACATCTTAATTGGGATTAGGTCTGGACTTTGACTAGGTCATTCCAAAACTTCAAATGTGTTGCTTTTTAGCCATTTTCATGTAGACTTGATTGTGTGTTTTGGATCATTGTCTTGCTGCATGACCCAGCTGCGCTTCAGCTTCAACTCACAGACGGATGGCCTGACATTCGCCTGTAGAATTCTCTGATACAGGGCAGAAATCATGGTTCCTTCTATTAAGGCAAGTCATCCAGGTCCTGAGGCAGCAAAGCATCCCCAAACCATCACACTACCACCACCATGCTTGACCTTTGGTATAAGGTACTTACTGTGGAATGCAGTGTTTGGTTTTCGCCAGGCATAATGGGACCCGTGGGGGGTTGAGACCTCTCACTGTTTTGATTAGAAAATCCAATCGTTGTAATTGAAGGGGGCACCGCTCGGGGGCTGTGCATGTGTAGGGCCCTATAAAATCTTTATATTTTTCTCAAATTCTGTTTTGTGTTTTCCCAAATTCCGTTTTCTCTGGTTTTAGTTTTCCTGGTTTGGGATTCCTTAAATTTTTTCAATTTTCTGACTCAAAATTACAATTGGATGAGTCCATGACAATGCATAAATCACATCAGAAGACCATAAAATAATAAAAATAATTTGTAATTGCCCTTTAATTGTGGATTTAGCGAGAGGAATGTTTGGCTAACGATGTTTCTGTACTGCACATGTGATGGCATAGTTTGCAAAACAAATGCCCACCCGATTGATACAAATAATCATGAAATCATTCTGCCCGGTAGGCCTACTTTGCAGTTAACATTTAATTGACATCTGGATTCCGTGATTCTGTCCGCGTTCTCCGCATGGCAGATTTAATAGGGCCCTACATGTGGGTTTTTGAGTGATAAAGACACAGAGGGGAACTAACCAGTAAAAGCACTTCATTATCTACGCATCGTGCTGACTACTGACAACAACAAAACAGCCTCCCAGACTCTGAAGCCAGGAGGACCAGGCTACCAAACGGATTGTTTTCAGAAATTCGCTCGTAACGTTGGATCAGACTGATCGCTGTAGCCAATCGCTACTTTGTAATGTTGGGTTGAATGCAAGAGCAGCAGCAGCTGTGTCACGTTCGTTGAAGGACGGGTCAGACCAAGGCGCAGCGTGAAATGCATACATGTTTATTAAAAAGATAAACACACGAACAACAACAACGTAACGTGAAGTCCTCAGGCTAAACACAAATACAAGCCTCTACACGGAACACAAACAAGATCCCACAACACAGGCAGGAAAACAGGCTGCCTAAGTAGGATCCCCAATCAGAGACAACGAGCGACAGCTGCCTCTGATTGGGAACCACACCCGGCCAAACATAGAAATACAAAACATAGATAATAATAATAATAATAAATTGGTCATTTAGCAGACGCTCTTATCCAGAGCGACTTACAGGAGCAATTTAGGGTTAAGTGCCTTGCTCAAGGGCACATCGACAGATTTTTCACCTAGTCGGCTCGGGGATTAGAACCAGCGACCTTTCGGTTACTGGCACAACGCTCTTACCCACTAAGCTACCTGCCTATCTACACATAGAAATACCACAACATAGAACTCAACATGCACACCCTGACCAAACTAACTAGAGTTCTGTAGGTCAGGGCTTGACAAGCTGATGACACTTGTGGCAGAACAGCAACTTCTTCATGCAAATGATTTATATTGGAAGTACAACAGTAGTGCTATGTATATTATTTAAAATTACTAAACGACATTCTATTTTTTTACATAATGTATACCCACAAATCTACACCTCATGCTACAACTACACTGTTTTTGTATTGTTGTAAAACGGATTCAACAGAAGCTCAGATTAGAAAATACAATATAATAAGGGAGTGGATGTTTCATTTCGATGTTTCATTTCCAAGTACTACCGAATAACCTCAACTGATATGCATCAATTGTGCATGATACACATCATTACTCTAGTCTATCAATCCATTCCAAATCTTTATACTATACATGACAAATGGGCAGCATATGTTGATCTTGCCTAGGGCGGCAGCAAAACTGCTAGGACCGGGCCTGACGAACACAATCATTTGCCTCTAATTTACTTGCGTTTGTGGCCACCTTGGCCTGCTCAAAGTGAGCCGCTGTTGTTGGGAAGTCAAAACTGTCCAACTCCTTGGACCAGCTTGATGCACATCAGCCTCGTTACTTTGTCCTCAAGAAGGATGTGATCTTGAGGCTGTATTTACTGTTTTGGAGAAAGAATTTCGCCGATTTTGCCCAGTCAGGGTACACTTAGCTGAAGTCGCTTATGTGAGGGCCTTGCGTCTTTTGCGTGAGAAACGCACACATCTGACACTAATGTCCAAGCAGCTTGAGGATTTATTAGGCTATGAAGTATATTTGCCTTTGAAGTCGGAGCACATCGACTGGTATTTCCATCAATGAATAAAAAGCATTATTGTGGGCAACACTTTACTTGACACCCAGTGTCATAACACGTTATGACACGGTCATAACATGTCGTAATATGTCATAACAGCTGACATAACTTGTCATAACCTGACATAATATTGTCCTAACACTGTCATGACCCATATATGTACACTTGTTGTGATATATATTGCGTTATTTTATGGCTGGTAATGACACATACATAAGTGTCAAAACCAATTACAATGATAATTTAACATTGTCATTAAAAAATATATTTAACTAAAACATACAGTTGACACGTAGGCTATGTTGTAATGGAATGTTTTGCCTTGTGTGGTAGGTTTTGTGGGTTTTGACACTCTTATGTAAGTGTCATAACAGCCATAAAATAATGCAATATATGTCACAACAGGTCTAAATATGTCATGACAGTGTTATGATCAAATAACAGGTTATGACAAGTTATGCCAGCTGTTATCACATTTTGACAGTTATGACCGTGTCGTAACGTGTTATGACGCTGGGTGTCAAGTGTTACTATTGTTTTTTTGCAATGGATTATTATAATTTTTTTCGGACAATTTGGCTGGCAAAATTTTTATTTATCTGCTTTTCATTTTTTTTATTGGCCAAAAGCTGGCATTTACCATCTAACGGAAAACCTTGAGGGTCGGTATTTTCTTGCTCCCCACGTCACCGCGAATGTCAGTGTTTGAAAATCACTGTTTTTAAAATGTTTTAACTTTTGATGATGTCATTGGGTAGAACTTTTAAACTTTTTTTTTTTAGACAAAACTTGAAATGCGCTGTTTTCACATACAGAGTGTACAAAACATTAGGAACATCTTCCAAATTTTGAGATACACCCCCTTTTGCCCTCAGCAGAGCCTCAATTTGTCGGGGTACTGCTTCCCACAGTTGTGTCAAGTTGGCTGGATGTCCTTTGAGTGATGATACACAAAGGAAACTGTTGAGCATGAAAAACCCAGCAGCGCCTGGCACCTACTACCATACCCCGTTCAAAGGCACTTAAAAATGGTGTCTTTCCCATTCACCCTCTGAGTGGCACACATACACAATCCATGTCTCAAGGCTTAAAAATCCTTCTTTAACCTCTCTTCAACTACACTGATTGAAGTGGATTAAAACAAGTGACGTCAATAAGGGATCATAGCTTTCACCTGGATTCACCTGGTCAGTCTCTCAATAGCAGGTGTTCATAATGTTTTGTACACTCGGTGTACGTAGACACTGGTATTGTGCTGGAGATAATGAAAAATAGGTTGAAAAGCGGTGGAATTGCCCTTCAAGTTGTTGGTGCAATATGTTATAGTCATCAATATTTGTGCAACTATCCTGCCCTGCAATATAATGGTAAGCAATCTCTAGTAATTACGAATAAGCTATTAACCATGAGTATTGATGGTAATTGCAGGTACCATACCATCTTAAAATAAAGGAATAAAAAAAAAAAAACAGTCAACCCTAACAAATGTAATGTAATCCCCTTTGCAAAGCCTGACTTTTTTGTTGTTCCCCTGTCCCTCAGGGTTTTGCGTTTGTGGAGTATGAGGTGCCTGAGGCAGCCCAGCTATCCCTTGAGCAGATGAACTCTGTTATGCTGGGAGGGAGAAACATTAAGGTGAGCTCTGCTGTCCATTTTTAAAGAGTAACTGAGTTTTTTGCTCAATGCCATGATGACACTATTTTAACACAAATCACGCTTTAAGGTGGGACGACCGAGCAACATCGGACAGGCCCAGCCGATCATTGACCAGCTGGCAGAAGAGGCGCGTGCCTTCAATCGAATCTACGTGGCATCTGTGCACCCCGACCTCTCGGACGAGGACATCAAGAGTGTGTTTGAGGCGTTCGGCCGGATCAAGTCATGCACTCTGGCGAGAGACCCCACCACGGGGAAACACAAGAGCTACGGCTTTATTGGTGAGGAAGACTGCGACTTTAAATTGGTTGCAAACTAACCCCCTTGAAAGAAATAAAATAATGCAGTTAAATCAACCAAGATGTTTTATTTTTTATTTTAGTATTGTTTCAGTGCATTTGGAAAGTATTCAGACCCCTTCACTTGTTCCACAGTTTGTTACGTTACAGCCATGTTCCTCATCAATCTACACACAATACCCCATAATTACTAAGCAAAAATAGATTTTTAGAAATATTTGTAAATGTATAAAAAAACAAAAACGGAAATATCACATTTACATAAGTATTCAGACCCTTTACTCAGTACTTTGTTGAAGCACCTTTGGCAGCGATTACAGCCTTGAGTCTTCTTGGGTATGATGCTACAAGCTTGGCACACCTGTATTTGGGGAGTTTCTCCCATTATTCTCTGTAGATCCTCTCAAGTTCTGTCAGGTTGGATGGGGAGCGTTTCTGCACAACTATTTTCAGGTTGCTCCAGAGATGTTCGATCGGGTTCTTGTCCGGGCTCTAACTGGGCCACTCGAGGACATTCAGAGACTTGTCCCGAAGCCACTCCTGCATTGTCTTGGCTGTGTGCTTAGGGTCGTTGTCCTGTTTCGTCCCAGTCTGAGATCCTGAGCACTCTGGAGCAGGTTTTCATCAAGGATCTCTCTGCACTTTGCTCAGTTCATCTTTCCCTCGGTCCTGACTAGTCTCCCAGTCCTTGCCGCTGAAAAACATCCCCACAGCATGATGCTGCCACCACCATGCTTCACCGTAGGGATGGTGCCAGGTTTCCTGCAGATGTGAAGCTTTGCATTCAGGTCAAAGAGTTGAATCTTGTTTCTCATGGTCGGAGAGTCCTTTAGGTGCCTTTTGGCAAACTGATTTGACCTGATTGATGGAGTGCTGCAGAGATGGTTGTCCTTCTGGAAGTTTCTCCCATCTCCACAGAGGAACTCTGGAGCTCTGTCAGAGTGACCATCGGGTTCTTCGTCACCTCCCTGACCAAGGCCTTTCTCCCCCGATTGCTCAGTTTGTCCGGCGGCCAGCTCTAGGAAGAGTCTTGGTTGTTCCTAACTTCTACCATTTACGAATGATGGAGGTTACTGTGTTTTTGGGGACCTTAAATGCTGCAGACAATTTTTGGTACCCTTCCCCAGATCTGTGCCTCGACACAATCCTGTCTTGGAGCTCTACGGACAATTCCTTCGACCTCATGGCTTGGTTTCTGCTCTGGCATGCACTGTCAACTGTGGGACCTTATATAGACAGGTGTGTGCCTTTCCAAATCATGTCCAATCAATTGACTATACCACAGGTGGACTCCAATGAAGTTGTAGAAACATCTCAAGGATGATCAATGGAAACAGAATGCACCTGAGCTCAATTTCGAGTCTCATAACAAAGGGTCTGAATACTTATGTAAATAAGGTATTTCTGTTTTTTATTTGTAATATTGTAACATTATGGGGTATTGTGCGTAGATTGAGGATTTTTATTTATTTAATCCATTTTAGAATAAGGCAGTAATGTAACAATGTGGAAAAAGTCAAGGGGTCTAAATACTTTCCGAATGCACTGTAAATGGCAGCTAAAAGCTGAATTGCGTATACAACATTCTAGAAAACAAATATAAATCAATAAATGTGATACTGCTTTATTAAGACATTTAAGCTATGAAGGGATCAGGAAGTTGTTGAAATCTTTTGGATGGTTTTAGTGGAGGATGTATTGATGGTCTGGAGGAGGGAGCATCTCGATCACAGCCAAGGGGAATAGCTGGTCAGAGACGGGCAGGTCAGCAGTACACATAGCTGTCCCCAACATTCTCAGCTTCTCCGTGCATTGGGCTTTGTAGATAGGTAGCTACTCCTCCACTAATATTTGTGTAGCACCCACTTGAGTGATGCCACCAATGGCGCATAGGCCCACCACTTATTTGATAAGTGAAAGTAGAAAATCTTCACAATTTCAAGTAATCTCCATTTAGGCAGTCCTCTCACTTCTGGCTTCTTCAGTGTTGTGGCATTCAAATCAAAACAGTCCCATTCAGCTAGCTAGATAAGCTACACCAACTGCCAACAGTTAGCATTAGCGCTGTATTCTACACAATATTAATAGATGTGGTAGTGTGAAATGGTAAAATGTGGGTTTTGGAAGTATTTTGACTTTGAACAGGTGCAAGACCTACAGTAGTGGATTCATTGACACAGTTAATGTTCTGTCTGGGCTGGGATGGCTATGGTGCGACCGACAGTAATACAATGTGTTGTGCATTTTGCAGAGTAGGCTACGGCACTCGTATGCATTACCACATTTTTTACTACAATTACGCCTTTGAATCACCTTTTCTCCTAGTATCCAGATATCCCTCCCTAAATTTAGGTTTTGTCCCCATGAGGGATTTTAGGCTTTTTATCTTTAAAGAACCCCCTAGTAGTGCAGGTGTCATGACTTTGGGTGATAATCAGGTAATAGCAATTATGTTATAATAATGTTCATGCCAATACGATATTCTGCATCTGTAAAACATGCCTCCCACATAAGGCAATCAGGTATTGAATCTAGGGCTGTGACGGTCATGGAATTCGCCGCATATTTTCTCCTCTTTTCCACTCCTGACTGCATGTGCTGCTGCTGCAGTAAGGGGGGCATTGCCTAGGCAACCAAAGACTTGTTTGCTACAACACCTTGCTTGTTTCAGCAAGGCGCAACAAAGTTTCATCACGGTGTAGAGTCCATGTTACAGCAGAAACGGAGTCAACCGCACAAATTCCCAGCCGTCCCGTCTTCAGTCAGCTGTTCGTTCCACCCCGCCATTATTTATTTTTAATGACGTTTCTTTTATTTTCATGATGGTCTTCATCCGTAACCGTCGGTTACACAGTTATACGGTAATTGTTCCACCCCTAATTGAATCTCTTTTGTTTCCCACCCGTTAGAGTATGACAAGGCTCAGTCCTCCCAGGATGCAGTTTCCTCCATGAATCTCTTTGACCTAGGGGGTCAATACTTGCGTGTGGGCAAAGCGGTCACCCCCCCCATGCCCCTGCTCACTCCGACCACACCTGGCGGACTCCCCCCTGCTGCAGCTGTGGCGGCTGCAGCTGCCACAGCCAAAATCACTGCTCAGGTAAATACTGTCTGTGCCCTCATTTTAGTATACACTATTTTCCACTGTTGAGGTCAGTTGAAAATTTAATTTAAATTAAAGCTCTTTGTGATATATTCTTTGAATGATGTATTGTTTCCTAAAGCCAGACTCAGTAAGTCCCAAATAATATTAGCTATGTCATCTGTGTATAGGAAATATAAAACTGACGGGGTGACAGTTTTACCTTTTTGGAAACAAACCCAGGCAAGACATCATAACTAGGGCCATGCTTTTTAGGTACTTTTTGAGGCACTTTGCTTTTACTGGTATATTCAGCATTATCCACTAGTGTTGCTGCAGGTAGAAAATCCTAGGAAATGTTATTTAATTGACACAAGCAGTCTCCAAACAATCAATCAATGTCTGGTTGTGCGTGTGAGTGTTCGGTGGGGGGGATTGCCTATATCAGGGGAGGCGTAGCTCTGAATCTTAATTGCACAAAACCTATTATTTGGCAGGGAATACTATTTGTAGATCAATGACTCTGCTCCTCACTTAGCTCAAGCTGATAATCTCTAACGGAATAGTGGAATATTGACAAAGCAATGGACAGAAACGACAGTCTGTATTTATTGCTGTTGTAGGAAAGTGCCATAGTAGTTCCATCGTACGTTTCCAAATGATGAATCCATCCATACTATTTGACTTGGTTTGCTACAGCATGAGGAGTTCGGCAGTGACTCTGGCCCCACGTTGGAGCTCATTAGAATATCCAAGTGTATGCACATCTTATTGGCTGAGCTGGCAAATCAGCGTATAATAATATTATTATTATTATTATTATTATTTATTTATTTTTAAAATTTACCGGTATGCGCCCAAACCAGGGGCACAGAGAAAAGCTGCTTTTTAATATCCTTAATTATAATTTTTTGGAAGGACATCAATTTCATATTGTAATTAATTTGAGGTCACATTTCATCTAAATCTGAAACACTGGACAGATACTTTAAGGTCGCTTCATTACCCCCTTCCTTTGGGAGAGGGTGTCCCCACGCTTCTTTATACCAAGTCCCTCACCTGTACACCCGTGTCCAGCAACTGTCAAGCCAACGTCTCTTGGCCTAACAGTTAAGGCGTTGGTTTGACAGTCACTGGACCAGGGTTCGTAGCCTAATGTAAATACAACCAAGTCTGGCAGTGAGCCCAGATCCCGACACCTCACTTTTTTTATGTGCGTCACTCTCATCCACTTCAATATATTATATTTCAAATGTAAGTACACACATGAATGCGTGCGTGACTGACGTGCTCCATATAAAATGCACTATTGTGCTGGAAGAAAACAAAAAGCAATGCACTCTTCGGTCTTCCAGGACAGAATGTCCAGAGTCAAAAAAAAATGTGTTTCTCGTTTTCTGTCCTTGTAGTCACTGGCACAGTCCAGGTGGTGTTCCCTCATGTCTGGCTTTGTTCTTCCAGGAGACGGTCGGGTCATCGGTGCTGGGAGCACTGGCTGGGCCCGCCCTCCTCTCTCAACAGTTGGGTGGCCTGCCCCAAGCCGTCATGGCAGCTCAGGCCCCGGGGATCATCACAGGTAAGCCAAGCACCCCCCCCCCCTCCAACACACACACACACACACACACATGTCTGTATAAAGAAAAGTGTACGCACATCCAACAAGCCTCCATGGTTGCAGGCTACCAACAATTACAATTGGAAAAATATGTATACTGTTTAAAAGCTCCTAAAAGTTTAATGGCAATGTTTCTACTACTAAGGACCTTGGCCATGCCTGCGCAGTTGGGAGGGGTTTGGAGTAGAGTCGTTAATAAAGTATATACAGTCAACACCATATGTATTTGGACAGTGAAGCAAAAAACATTTTTGTCTCTATACTCCAGCATTTTGGATTTGAGATCAAATGTTTGAGGCAACAGTACAGAATGTATTATTTATTTGTGGGTATTTCCATACTGTATCTGTTTTACCGTTTAGAAATGAAAGCACTTTATGTATCTACTAATGCTGAGTGATTAGCCGAAATGTCAGTTTATTTATGTTTTTGAAATAACTTATTGACCGACATCAGTTCAATTATTTGAATTCCTTTTAGTTCTTTTTTTTCTTTCTGTGAGCTCAACACACCGTTTCTCTAGAGAGAACTATAATCACAGAGTTTCTAAACCCAGAGGACCAACATCGCGATACTTCTGGGAACGCTTTGCGAAGCAGACACGACAGACAGGGTCAAAAATTCTTCCCTGGTTGTTAATTTTCTCGAAATCTATGTCTTAAGTAGTTGAACATGTTATTACGCCAACCTTGTGAAAGTGACAAACTGACACGTTTTCATTTTCGTCAAGAACAACTTTATATCGAAGGAGTGCCTTTGATTTGACGGCCTGTACATCCACAATTTGACGGGAGACGACCATTAAACCTGATGATGTGTTTCTGCGCATGAGCTTAGCTAGCCAACGTTGCCATGGCATCGCCTACAAGCGTGATCGGGGATTTCTATTGGAGAAGCAGTTTCTGCGGCATCTTCAATCTAATCAAGCATGAACTGTGGGACGTTGTAGAAAGGTGTCGTTTTCAACAGGCCAATCAATATTCATCATAGTTAAGTGCAGAAAACGTGGTAATTGACTACAATGACCAGAATCCAGCATACAGCTGCCTGTTCTCATTGGTTCTTGCCCGGGCTTGCTTGGGGGGCCAGCAGACAGACATGGAGAGGAAGAGCGATAGAGAACAGTTGTTTAGGTATCTTTAACCGAAAATACATCTAATTGATAGATAGTTGTCTGTTTTGCCATGTACAAATGTGTTATTCAATGCATTTCTATAAGCTATAGCAGTAAATGCCACATTCAATGTTTGATCACATTTGATTTTTTTATATATGCCTCATTCAAAATCAAGTGGCTAAATGATCCATTTTATGACCATCTTAAAACAATTCCATATGTTAGCTTAGTAGATATTGTGATCTAAGGGCTTAGACCTACAGGGGTTAAAGTATAGTAATGTGACTAAAGGATAGTTAATTAATAAGTGATAAGCAGTAATGGGCAGTCACTACCATTATAAGGGTTTTATTAATTAAATAATAGTCATCATCATACCAAAAACAAATAATGTAATATACACAACCAAAACATATGTAATGTGAATATGTAACAAATAATGTGAATAAATGATGGTTAGAGCCTAATAAGTGATAGTAATGGACAGTCATACATCAATTGTTTTATTTTGTGTTGTTGCAGCATTCAACCCACATAATGCATTTAAAAATATATATATGCAGTACCAGTCAAAAGTTTAGACACCTACTCATTCAAGGGTTTTTCTTTATTTCTTTTTTACTATTTTCTACATTGTAGAATAATAGTGAAGACATCAAAACTATGAAATAACACATATGGAATCATGTAGTAACCAAAAAAGTGTTAAACAAATCAAAATATATTTTATATTTGAGATTCTTCAAATAGCCACCCTTTGCCTTGATGACAGCTTTGCACACTCTTGGCATTCTCTCAACCAGCTTCATGAGGTAGTCACCTGGGATGCATTTCAATTAACAGGTGTGCCTTAAAAGTTATGGATTTGTGGAATTTCTTTCCTTAATGCGTTTGAGCCAATCAGTTGTGTTGTGACAAGGTAGGGGGGGTATACAGAAGATAGCCCTATTTCTTCACTATTATTCTACAATGTAAACAATAGTAAAAATAAAGAAAAACCCTTGAATGAGTAGGTGTGTCCAAACTTTTGACTGGTAGTGTATATCAAAACTGAAATTAAAAACCAAGATTTTTTTTTTTTTAACCGAACCGACCTTAAAAAAACACTAATCGCTCAGCACTAGTATCAAGTCTCCCTATTACACTCAATGACTACATCAAGCTTGTGACTCTACAAACTTGTTGGATGTATTTGCAGTTTGTTTTGGTTGTGTAAAATGCATAAAAATTGTACACCCAGCAACAGATGAATAAAGTGCATTAATTTCTAAATAGTAATGTATGTATGAAAACACCCTCAAATAAAAGTTGACATTCTGTACTGTCGTCCCATATGATACATTTGATCTCAAATCCAAAATGCTGGAGTATAGAGCCAAATGAAAGGTGAAAATGTGCAGAAATTGCTCCGCCATTTCCTTGTTGCAAAATTTCAGTTTGTGGCAAAACAAGCAGTCATTGTGTAGAGAATCATTGTACTGGCCATGAAGAAGTTTTGTGGGGATTCATTTGGTATTTAGCAAAAGATTAAGGGGATGTGGAAAGAGGAACTCTGACTTCCTGGTAACCTCACCGATTTGAAAGGACATCATGGTAGAGGTAAACGATTAGCAACAGAACCTATTGTGCATCGTGAAAGTGGCTTCCTTTCCTCATCTGTTCTTCATCTGTACAAATCTTAAAGTGATAGTTCACTTCGAAGACCTTATTGTCAATTTACCTATGATGGTGCCATTTTAAGAGACCGACCGATGTGAGATTTTTGTGATAGGAAATACCCAGATTCCAATATATCTGGGAGGCATTTTTCTAATTGTGCAGATGAAGTAATGGAGATGAGGAAAATGTGTTACTAAAGTTTGTTGAGATGCAGCCCAGGTATAGCTTGTTGGAATCTGATCGCTGCTGTAAACAGCCTGATTCTGTTTTACTGCTGTTATCACTCTTGCCTTCTTTCAACAGATGTGTGTTTGGAATATGCCAGAAAATGGCTGCTCCAAATAGAAGCAGTGGCTGGGTTTAAGTCAAAAACCCTGGGGCCAAACATAGTGCTTTGAATAAGCCTGTATGTCCTCTGATTTGGTTAAAGGTGATTCAATCACTGCCAATTTAGTTTTTGATAATGTCCTCATTACAGACATAGGCTCAAACAGTTTCAATGAGGACGAATGCCAGGCTGATACGTGCAGTGAAATAGAATGATGAACGCAGCGATCAGGCTTGTTCCACCAGGTTAGCTTTTGTGGACTGAGGAAATGGGAAGATGGAAGATTGGACTGTAAGAAATTGAGTTTAAGAGCAGGTGCTGGTCATGGCAGCTTTCACACTCAGCCTTTTGGTTGGTTGGCCTTGAATCAGAAAGAAAATAAGTGTTACTTTTGCACCACCATTGAACAATGTGCCTCCCATTGGCTGGCAAGGGAACTGTGTGCATTTATTAGCATGCCTTTCACTGCATGGGCTATCCAGAGTGAGACAGTGAGGTGGTGTGTATGAAAAGAGGCCAGATGCCCAGGTAAGTGCAGAATTGGACAGTTGTAGGGTCATTGGGAATGAAATGGACAAATGCAAGTACTGGCAACAGACAAGCTGATGCGTCATATATTTTAAGATTTATGTTAGTTATGTTATGATTTAGCAGCCATTTCCCAAAACAACTCGGTAAACACGCAAGTTTAAGTCAAATAGAGGGGCTGTTCAGTGGGACATATTTGGGACCAAATTACAATGAGAAGTAACATGCAGTAACATGTGTTTTGCCTATATTAACAACTACAGGTTGTTGACATTTTATTTATTAGGGTTTTAACCGTTCTCCCAAAATGATTATCAATTGGCATTCCCTTTGTTTTGAGTTCAGTAAGCAGAGAGAAACACTTCTGTATAGAGCAGGGGTGTCAAACATACGGCCCTCGCGCCAGATATTATAGAAAAATCTAATTTAAGTGGGGGAACAAACTCAATATACTTTAAAATTACTAAAACCAAATCGAAACTGTGTAGAAATAATGGACCTATACAGTTTCTTGACTGTCCAGCTCGCTAGAAGTGTCAGGGAGCATAGAAAATTCCAAAAATGATGGATAGAGGACTATTTTCTTGTCAATTATGTTGGCAAGGAAGTATAACCAATTTTCAGTGCAGCCCTCCGGACCTCGTTGAAGAACGAATGCGGCCCCCGGGGCAAAATTAGTTAGACACCCCTGGTGTAGCGTGACAGGGAGTCCTGAAAATAACACTTAGTGATGCCATCTGTTAACATCCTATAATGTTATATGGCGGAACCAAAACGAGATGAGGAAGGAAACCGGTGCATATAGATATTTTTTTTTGTCTGAAGTGGAATTGCCTCTGTACTTTTTTCAGGCTGCTGTTGTCTCCTGCAGTGTATTAGTTGTACATAGCCTGTCGGAGGACCACTCCACTAATAGATTCTCTTTTATTGTCTCTTCTCTCCTTGTCTCTCTCTTTTTTCTCTCTCCTTTCTTCCCCTCCCTCTCTTGACTCCACAATCGCACCGACAGTGGCCACTTAATCCCTCCCCTTTGCTGCACACTGACCAACCAAGTGTGAAGAGGACTGTTTCTAGCCCCTCCCCTCATAAACATAGCCCCTCATTCCTATTGGCCAGTGAGTCTCAGATCCTGTGTGTTTTGTGGAGTTGACTTTTGGTATGCATCAACATGACCATTAAGAAGCTACAACCAGGGTGGTTAGAGGGTGGGGGTGGGTTCATTTGAATACATTCATTTTTCTATTGTAAGGAGTGTTTAGTTTGCATCCCATGCCCCTCCTCCCCTTCCCCTTAAAGGGGCAATCTGCAGTTGCTACATCCATTTTTGGATTGTGAAATAATTATGTACCCATTGATTCTTGAAGAATATACAGTGCCTTAAGAAAAGGTATTCACACCTATTGACTTTTGCCACATTTTGTTGTGTTAAAGCCTGAAAAATTGATTAAATTGAGATTTTTGGTCAATGCCCTACACACAATACCCCATACTGTCAAAGTGGAATTATGTTATAATCTTATTATTTTTATTTTTTAAGATTAAAAATGAAAAGCTGAGATGTCAAGAGTCAATAAGTATTCAACCCCTTTGTTATGGCAAGCCTAAATAAATTCAGGAGTAAACATTTGCTTACGTCAGGTCTTGCCATAGATTTTCAAGTAGATTATTTTGGAATGAATAATGGGCAAATGTTGCACAATCCAGGTGTGGAAAGCTCTTAGAGACTTACCAAGAAAGACTCACAGCTGTAACCGCTGCCAAAGGTGCTTCTACAAAGTATTGACTCAGGGCTGTGAATACTTATGTAAGTTAGATATTTATGTATTTCATTTTCAATAAATAAGCAAAAAATCTTTGTCATTATGGGGTATTGTGTGTAAATCTATTTAATCAATTTTGAATTCAGGCTGTAACACAACAAAATGTGGAATAAGTCAAGGGGTATGAATACTTTCTGAAGGCGCTGTAACTTATAAATGCCTCATGAGCTTAGTTCAACTGATGTACTCTATCAGGACCCAAAATATATACGCTTGTTTTACTCCAATGTTTGTAATCAAAGTAAATGCAAACAAACAATATAGCCTAAAAACAAGGCTAAAACTATAGTTGTGACATCATGGATGGTCAGTCTTTGCATCCATAGCTGTGCTTATGAATTTGAGAGTGGTTATATTTCTCCAGCCCCCTCCCTCAGCGTTTTACCGAATCAGGGTGGGGAGGATGCTTGTTTATTGTTTCAACTGCTGGTTGCCGCTTTAACACTTACTTGACAAAGATTAATAGGCTAGAAAATCCATATTTACCTGGAATTAGATGGTAGAAGGGGGTTGGAAAGCTTTGCTATAGAGCTTCTTTGCCATCTAACTTTTGCCAACCCCAAACATCACGTGGAAATGTTCCTTATGCAACAGAACCAATGTTGTCAGCCCAGTCTCAGCCTGCTAGTGGACACAACACTCCAATGACCATGATTGCTAGCTCCAGTTCGATAGAACCCTTTTACTTGACAGGGAGCTGTCGTGTCACATTAAAACATTGCTAGACAGGAGCCAACCCAGCCAGTTATCTTGGGAAACCCCCCCTGAGGGGATTTTTCCCCCATTGCCACTGGCTTGGGGCTTGGGGAGGCTCCTCTGTTGGCTGTCCAACCTTGGGGGGGTTTGAACTTTTTGTGCTGCCTCCTTCCGTTCTCTTTTGCAGGGGTAACCCCAGTGCGGCCCGCTTTGCCCGTGTTACCTCAGGTGGGCCTGGTCAACCCAGTGCTGGCCTCACCACCGGTGCTGGTCACCTCTCTAGTGGCAGCTCAGGAGGCCAAGAAGAAGGAAGTGGAGGAGGAGGAGGAGGCCTTGCAGGATGGGACGGGCCAGGAGCCGCTGAGTGAGCAGGAGAACATGAGCATCTCCGGGAGCAGCGCCAGACACATGGTCATGCAGAAGTTGCTCCGCAAACAAGAGGTGGGTTGAAATAGTCCTGTTTTCTTTTCTTATTGAAAGCTGGCAGTGCTCCAGACTTACCTTTTCCCCTGGTGGCACTAGCCCATATTTGTGACTGACCGGCTCGATTCGGTCTTATGTTTTTTACATTAGATAAAAGTAGAGGCTAGAAAATGGTATGTCATACACTACAGTTGAGGAACAATGGGAAAGTAATTCTGCTTTGAATGTTGTAACCTCACTTTTGAGAAAATGGCCCTTGAATGTTTTGGTAAACTTACTGGAGCGCTCTTCCTTGTTTACACCCATTCAGCATCGTTCACACCCTCTTAAGCCTAAGCCCCACCCATCTTTTTAAGGATTCACATGTGAGGCCATGTACTAAACAACCAAAGATTTCAAGACTAAAGGCTGGTTTATACTATGGGTGTGTTCGTAAATTCAATCTGGAGTGCCAGAGTGCGCTCTGGGCGTTCGTAAACTCAGAGCATTGTCAGATTGTCCGTTTTGTAAATTCAGAGCGTTTCACTCTCGGAGTGTTCAGAGCACGCTCTGGCCGAGGAGTAGGGTTGATCCAAGCGTTCTGACCTAACAACAGCAGGCAAGCACCCAAGCTTGCTAGCTACTTCCAGATACAAATGAGAGAACAGCTCACTCTGACCATTTTACTCGCCCTAGCAGAGCTGGTTAGGCTGTTTTTATGCTATCCAGAACTGTGCTGCTGGCAACAATTTAATTACGTTTTTTTTGCAGACGTTTACTGACTCCGGCCATATTCAACGGGTGTTGAGCATTCATAAATTTGTCAGTTATTCTGCGCTACATTTATCGACAGTTGTCGCAGTGACATCATGGACATTCTATTGAAATGGTTACTTGCATAGTGGAGTCTTTTGTTTAGACATGTACATTAGCTAGCAAACTAAACGATTAACCATAATCCCAACTCATAACGTTACTACCCTGCATTAATCTGCAGGTAGCTAACCAACCAGGTTCAATGTTAGCTAGCTAGCTAACATTAGGCTATAACTAGCGATGCAAATCGCTCTGAGATACAAGTAATATTACTACACAGATCATACACATAATGTTAGCTAGCGAGCCAGCCAGCTAACGTTAGCTAGATAGCTAACAGTATGCTTTAACTTGAAATGAAAACAACTTTCTGACAAAATTAGAAATGTGTATTATCTGAAAATGTAGCTAGCTAGACTATCTTACCCGTATACATGGATGGACGCTTCTCCCTCTCTGTCACGGATGTCACAGGTGTTTTATAAAATAGCCTTCTGTGTGTTCTCTTTTCGACTCCCTCTGCATATTTGCAATCAAACGGCAGTATTTTCTCCATCTCCTTAGCTATCATACTCTAATTCCACTGGGCATTCCACTGATTTCAAAACTCTGTCCTCCAGAAAGTGGACAGCAACACTTTTGCAGTTCTACTACGTGATATCTTTCAAAAAAGCCACGTAAGAAAGGATTACCTACACATACTGACCAGCTCATGTTATAGACAGAAGCGTGCTACATGGCAGACCAATCCGAATTCAACTCTCGGCATGTCCAGCCCAGCCATTATCTCAGCCAATCATGGCTAGCGGGAAGGGTCCTGTATTTTTCCGTGGCTAAACCAACTACGCTTGTAATTTAACCATTTTATTCATATTTACAGATTGCATACAAGTTTGTTATCAAGGCACATGAAAGTTCACATGTTCCAGAAGGCATTTCTGCAAAAAAAAGCATTTTGATTAATAAAAATAAGTTTTTGTTCAAATGGCTCTCCTGTGAAGTAGTGACGCGCGACATACGCCTAATTTCCTGAAACGAGTCTCATTTGGTCACACATTTTTGTTGTTGTTAAATAGATACAAATTGTAATTCTATTATGAAGACATCTTTATGTGCACTAATATCACATTAGCTAATTATACTGAACAAAAATATAAACGCAACATGCAACAATGTCATTGATTTTACTGAGTTACAGTTCATATGAGGAAATCAGTCAATTGAAATAAAACGCCATCGATAAAATGCAATTGTGTTCGTTGTCCGTACCAAATGCCTGCCCATACCATAACCCCATCGCCACCATGGGGCACTCTGTTCACAACATTGACATTAGCAAACCGCTCGCCCAAACCGCTTGGAGGTGGCTTATGGTAGAGAAATGAACATTCAATTCTCTGGCAACAGCTCTGATGGACATTCCTGCAGTCAACAGGCCAATTGCACGCTCCCTCAAAACTTTACATATCTGTGGCATTGTGTTGTGTGACAAAACTGCACATTTTAGAGTGGCCTATTATTGTCCCCACCACAAGGTGTAATGATCATGACGTTTAATCATATTCTTGATTTTCCACACCTGTCAGGTGGATGGATTATCTTGGCAAAGGAGAAATGCTCACTAATATTTGTAATTGTATTTATTTAACCTTTATTTAACCAGTCAATTCAAGAGCGTCCTGGCCAAGATAGGCAGCACCAAGTCATTACACAATTACAGACAGACAACATGAAAAACTACAAGTAATCTAGTAAAAACCATAGAAATCACAGGAGTATAACAAAATCATAAAAAAGTAAATTAAAAACATTGACAGGTCAAGGAATCAGCCTCAAAATCCTTCATCAATGATTTAAAAACACCAATCGGGACAAGTTCTTCCAGTTTGAAACTATTTTGTAAGACGTTCCAAGCCGATGGCTCAGAGTACATAAAAGCCCTTTTTACCAAATTAAATTCGGACATTTTGAACATTTAGCAGGATAAAGTCCTGCAAACAAAGAATTAAAAATGGCCAAATAAAAATGTTGTAAACTCAAAATAGCTTTGTAAATAAAAGTATAGGCCAGCCAACCCTGGTATATAAAGTGCAGTGGTGAGTAAGGGTTTTGCAATTTAAAATACATCTCAATGCTCCATGGTAAAGGGTGTCAATTGATGTCAAACATTCATATATAAAATATCACCATAGTCTAGTAAAGGCATAAATGTAGCTGATACTAGCCTCCTTCTGGCTTCAAAAGAAAAACAGGCCTTATTCCTAAAATAAAATCCCAACTTCAGCTTCAATTTTTTTGTAAGTTGTTGAATATGCAATTTAAAAAAGGCTGTCATCAATTAAAATTCCAAGTTATTTATGAGGTTACAGCCTCAATCTCATTGCCCTGACATGTAGTAATAGGTGAAAGGTTCAGAGGTCTGTTTCTTGCTTTAGAAAACACCATTAGTTTAGTTTTGTCAGAATTGAGGATAAGCTTCAATTAACACAAGGTATGATGAACAGTATAAAAAGCAGTTTGCAAGTTCTGGAAAGCTTTTGTGAGAGACGAGGCACAACAATAAATAGCAGTATCATCAGCATAAAAATTGCGCATTTTGCACATTTTTGTCTAAATTATTTATATAAATAGTGAATAAGAGGGGACCAAGTACAGAGCCCTGGGGCACACATCAACATTTACATTTACGTCATTTAGCAGACACTCTTATCCAGAGCAACTTACAGACAGACAATTTAACAGACATGAGCCCATCAAATTGAGTGCACTGAGTTCTATCAGACAGATAGTTAGCAAATCATGCAACTGCATGCTCCGAAAGACCTACGTCTGTATCAAAAGCCTTAGAGAGATCAATAAAAAGTGAGACAAAGTGCTGTTTTTTGTCAAGGGCTTCAGTGATATCATTTAAAACCTTCATGGCTGCTGTAATTGTGCTATGCTTCATCCTGAAGCCCGATTGGTACATTGATAAAATAGTTGGTATAAAAAACGATTTACTACTAACAAGGGTTTCAAGTATTTTCGCCAGGGGTGACAGCTTTGAGATTGTAATTATTTACAATTGTTGGATCTCCCCCTTTTAAGAGTAGTAGGACACATGCTGATTTCCAGATCCTTGGAATTTCAGTACATTCCAGGGTTAGATTGAACAGATATGTAAGTGGTTCAGCTATGAAATCAGCTGCCAGTTTTAAAAAGCAGGGATCAAGAAGATCAGGACCTGCCTGCAGGCTTTCTCTGATCTAAGGATTTCATGTCTTTATGTACCTCCTGCACTGAGAATGGCAAAAACTACAAGTTTGACCAGCTCTCACCGGTTCGTCCACACAGGGTTGTACAGATACAGAGGATACTGAATCAAATAGCCTACCAGATGATACAAAGTGCTCATTGAAACAATTCAGCATTTCAGTTTTGTTATATACAGCAACAGTCATTCAATACACATGACGGTAATTCATTAACATTACTGTTACCAGACATAGATTTAATAGCCTTCCAAAACTTTCTAGGATCATTCAGGTTATCAGTGGTAACAGACATAAAATATTCAGACTTGGCCTTCCTGAGAAGAGAAGAACACTTGTTTCGTAACTGCCTAAAAAGAAGCAAATCAGCATCAGAACATGATTTCCTTGCCTTAGCCCAGGCTAGATTACGTTGGTGAATAATACAAGACAGCTCAGAAGAAAATCATGGATTATTCCGCCCTTTAACTCTGAACCTGCGGAATGGGGCATGTTTGTTTACTATTTGGAAAAATATGTAATGAAAGAATTTCCAGGCAGTTTCCGCAGCAGGAATAAGCTCAATCTTGCTCCAGTCAAAATAAAACAAATCATGAAAGAAAGCCTGCTCATTAAAACTCTTAAAATTGTTCTTACGAATAAAGTGTGGGTTTGTCTTAGGAACCTTAGTATTTCTAACAGCAACAACAGCGCAACGGTCACTTTAACCATTACAGAAAACACCAACCGCAGAATATTTATGTGGGACATTTGTCAATATCAAATTAATCAGGGTAGATTTCTCTGGACATTTGACATTTGGGCGGGTGGGTGAGTTAATCAACTGGGTAAGATTCATAGAATTACAATACATTTTAAAATCATCAGACACCGGCTTTAACCAACACCAGTTGAGATCACCAATCAAGATAATTTTACTGTCAAGAAATTTAGACATAAGGTGCATCAGAGAAGACAATGCATCACGAGAGCAGAGGGGGG